TAACTTCTTTTTGCATCATTTGGTGAATTCCTTTGTGCTAGGAATAGGAATTTCATGGTATAGCGAAGCTAGAGTAAGGATTAGAAATCCCTATATATCTGTTTATGCAAATTTTTTAGGAAAAGGTTGATTTTTAATTTACTGAACTATAAAGTAAAACCATTCTAGTGCGTTTTTGAAGTGAGTCCATGTAGCTTTAGATTAGAATGAGTTTGAAATTTAAAGTGGCAAGCCTCTAGCTAAAGATAGAATTATGAGTTTTTGTTGAGTTTTAAAGTCCATATTTGGTGGGTCAGAAACCCCCCTTAATGTCTTTCAGTAACTTGTTTGTTAATGTAAAGGTTTAATGATGCGAGATAGAAAAAAATTGAAGAATCTTCTTGAAATGGCAGCAAACTATTTTTAATTATTTCCTATAAAGTTTGCTGGCTATAGTACATATGGGGTTGGTAAGTTAATTTTTTTGGCAAGGGATTGGTTAATTGGGGTAATTCTATGAAATTTCGCATAGAGAAAACTCTGAATTTTTATTGTGTACGGCAGCAACTAAGCCTTGAGGATCCTTGTGTTTGTTTTCAGAAGGGACAAATCTATATAACGAGTGTACTTTAAGATTTTCTTACTATTTTGATGTGTAAAAAAATTTTTTAGAATTATAATTGATAACAGTTAACAGAGCGTTAGTAACATATGGTTTGTTTGATAGAGGATAGATGTTTTATGAGGTCAATGAAACGAATCATGAGACCCCAATTAATGTATGAACAAGGAATATATAATATCGGTGTATATGATTTGTTAACCAGTATTACAGTTTGGATAGTTTTACACTAGTAGAATTGATGTTAAGCAAATAGCTATTTCACTAAATTTGCTTTTTATTTTATTTTCTTAACAATTATATAGTGAAGTTAAAGTTTGGCATTGGACGATTAAATATTTAAACTGGATTGCTTTGGGTGGAGGAAGGGAAATAAATTGTTTGATTGCCACGACGGATGGGCTGTGTGCATTGATCGTAAAGGAATATGATAATATTTGTGATATTTGGACCAGCGTAGATAGTCCAATTTTGGGGAGTGCTGCGAAATTTTTCGATAGAATTAGTATTTTAATTAAACAACATATGATTAAGTAAGTTTAGTTAGATTAGTTCTCCTAACTTGGTAACATAATGAAATATAGGTGGCTCGATTGTTTATTATCTTTATTACTCATTTAATGATTTACATAATTTAATTTATTTATTTATTTCCATTATTATTGTTATTAGTTATTTATTTTTAATCATTTTTGTTTATTGTTAATCTATTATTTTTATTTAGTTAATTTGTCATTGCATTACGATGTTTAATTGATTAATATGCTTGCATTTAATTGCAATTTACTTTGATTAATTGTGTTGTGATATGCTTGTCTTGTGTGTTGTGTTGAATTGGATGATTGAAGTGGGTCCACCATGGGTTTGTGAGACTGTTTCTGTTATACGATTCTCCTGATTCCCTGATTTCGTTATATTCTGATCTGTAATGGATGCCTGATTCTGTTTCTGTTAGCCCGGGTAAATGGGAGATCGGCGCCCCGTGTGCACCTGATAATTTTTTGGTTTATTCTGAAAACCACAGGAGTTGCCCGCCTTGTGTTGCGCAAACACTGAAAATCAGATTGATTGCAGCCCGCAGGGTGGCCTCCTGTTGTGCAGCGCTTGATGATCTTATATGGATGGAGACCACCGGGTTTGGCCTCCTGTTGGGTATTGGAAAGAGAAAAAGCAGAGAATGAAAAACAATGAGGGCCCCTGGTCAAGTGAGGATTAGACCCGGTCGGCCCAGTAATGGGTGCGGATCGGCTCCCCTGGTGGCACCATGTGAGAGGATTGAGCCATGTGGGATAGGACGGCTCACGGGGGTGGTGAACTCCCACTGACTCTAATTCCACGTGATGAATGATTATAAGAATGATGTTAATGATTGTGAGTGCTGGGTGATTTGCCCATTTGTGTGACTGGCTGCGTGAGCATAAAACAGTCCCGGACTACTAGATTAAGTATTCGTTTACAGCATTTGTGTGTGAATGCATGTGTTGTGCAATAATTATTACCCCTTAGAAAACTCACATGTCTTGTTTGATTTTTCAGGAAGTAAGTTTTTCTTTAATCTGATGTAGGCTATGTTTCTACGTTCGGCGCAGGGCAATAGAGAAATTTTTTTAGTTCCATAATTATTTTGCTATGTAATTATGTGTATAAAAACTATGTATACTAAAGAATTAGTGACTCCGCAGTTGTAGGACTTACGTATATGTAGGCATGTATTAATATAGCCAACACAATTCTGTAAGCCTATATTAGAAATGTGATGTATTGTGAATTGGGTCCGAACTATGGAATGTTGTAGAAGATAAACTTGGGCCGAGAAATAATAAAATCTTGAGGTTTATTTTTCATAATCATATGGGCTGAATGTTAAAATTCTATTGAGATGGGCTGAATGTTTAAACTTCTAATTTGAGATATGTAATTTCGAGTATTTCAGGCTTCCTAACGGCCTCGGGGGCCGTTAAGCTTACAATGGGCTTAGTGACGGTATTGAGATAGTAAATTTCGAGTATTTCAGGCTTACTACGGGCCTCGGGGGCCTTAAGCTTACCTGGGCTCTAGTGCCGGTGCGGCCCACGGAAATGGGTCGTGACAAGTTAGGACACATCCTAATCCTACATTGAAAAGTAATCACAATAAGCTAATACTTAAATTGAAAGCATTCTTGTTTAACTAATCCTAAATAAAGAAGAAAAACCGAAAGTTATTCCTAATTAATTACTCCCTTTGTCTCAAAATATAAATCGTTTTTTGGGTGAGTATTTTGTCTCAAAATACAATAAATACTTTTACAAGTAACTATTGATTTTGAAATAAAAGATAATTTAGTCAATTTACACTTGGTTTTGTCATAATCTATGAGAATTAATTGTTTCTTTAATTCTTGTACAAAAACTTTAAATGACTTATATTTTGAGAGAAAGGGAGTAACATTCTCTTATTTAGTCCTAAATAAACAAAGAAAATATAAAAAATCTTCCTAAATGCTCGTGCATCAAAGGGTGTGTAATTCCTTCGAATTTTTGGTACCACAAAAATATTTCATTATGATATAGAATATAAACAACTCCATAAATGATTGTCTTCCTTACTTTAAGGTATTTGCATGATTGGAAGGCTGCAAAAGTCTAATGTGTTAAATTTCCTTTAATTCAAAATGGAGAAAAAGTAGATATTTGTAAGATTTCTAGCAAAGACTAATCTCATATGCAAGGTCGATATAGCTCCTTGATCGAAATTGTATGAATTCAAAATTATGAGACTGAAGTCGGGCTTTTGTTGTTGGTTTATCAGACTGAAATGCTTGGTTTTGTGAGATATTGTCATCAACCAAAAGACAATCTTTTAGGAATTGGCTTAATTATAAAATTAATGCATGAACTCTTAAAAAATTTCTATTTCAGTTTCTCAACGGAAAATGTTTGCAATCAAGTTTCTGATCCGATAAATTTTTTTCAATCAAGTATCTCTATCCCACATGGCTCACCGGAGACACGAGTAAGATTTGTGGGACCCACTTAATAGTTAAAAATAGCTGAATAGGACGAGTTGTGGCTGACACGTTGGATTTGATATGTCAAACAATTTAGTGTAAAAACTGATGAACAAAATGGACCTTTATAAAAGAAAAAGGCAACTGACCTATAAAATCATTCTCATCCCAAATCAGAGAGAAAGAAACCCTAGCGCAGTCAAACTTTAACCTCAAACAAAATCAAATCACTCTTGTCTCAACACTAAGAAGCCTTCCCTCGATGTTGATAAGCGTATTAATACTTTAAGGAATATAAGTAAATTATTTCTCATGAAACTTAACAAAAACCATAAAAGCCATCACCAAAACCAACAACGCAAAAGCAAATTTCATTGGGTGGTTATACGGGCATTTGCAGACTCAATAACATATCAAGATAAAATCCACTTAACAGTTTAATGCCGAAGTTAAATTTCATGGACAAGGGAAAATGAATCGTCAAATTAGACAAAATTAATTAGCTAATTAAGTAACACTGGTTAAAGCTTCATGTAGATCAAAAGAACTAAAGAGTGGGTTATAGAGAGAGAAGGATCTGGAGACGAAGAATTCTTGCGCCATAAACCGTCCCACTAATGGAATCAGTGGCTTTAAGGTGAATTGGAGATACAACTGCGCTTTTGTTTTTGTTTTTCTATTTCTTCTTCAATTTCTTTGAAGTCTTTTTATTTTTCTTCGATTTCTTTGGGATAATAATGATTTGATCGATCAGTTGTCTTTTCTTTTACTAAGGGCAATTTTGTCTATCGATTTTTACACTAAACTGTTTGACATGTCAAATCCGATGTGTAAAGCCACAAATTGTCCTACTTAGCTATTTTTTGAACATTAAGTGGGTTCCACAAATCTTATTCGTGTTTCAGCGAGCCACGTAAGACAGAGACATCTGATTGAAAAAAATTTACTGATTTAGAAATTTGATTACAAACTTTTTCTATTGAGACAAGTTTTTAAGAGTTTAAACACTAATTTTATAATTAGACTCAAACGTTTTTCGTTGAGATACTGAAATAAAATTTTTTCAAGAGTTCAGATAATTAAGTCTTTGGGAATTTGGTTGTGAAAGTAAACGGTAAACAAGTTTTCGAGCATTTCATTCAACTAGTACATATGAGTCTAAATTTCTTATACTCGTTGAAGATACACGCGTTGTAGCCATAAAATTTAATGTGTTTGTACAAATCATTTAAGATACATCCTTTATTCTAAAAAATATATATATATAATATATATTATTACAAAATTATCAATGAAAATATGCACTTTTTTTCAACAAAAAAATAAAATTATATAAATCATAAACTTGGGCCATGATTCTCTTTTCTTGGGCCTGTAGCAGTCCATTCCCTGTATTGCTTAACCATCCGATCTTAATAATTTCTCTTCTGAAATGAAAAGAGTCTGAAATCTAAATCTGTAGATCTACCAAAAATCAGTTGAAAGGAAACGAAGACAAAGAAATCAGAAATGGCAGCACCAGACCATCTCTTCAGTCTACGAAACAACTTCTACTTGGGAGCTTACCAAGCCGCTATCAACAACAGTGACCTCCCCAATCTCTCCCCAGACGACGCCGTCGAGCGCGATTGCCTCGTTTACCGTTCTTACATTGCTCTCGGCAGCTATCAGCTCGTTATCAATGAGATCGACAATTCGGCTGCCACTCCTCTCCAGGCTGTGAAATTGCTTGCCTTGTATCTCTCAAGCCCTGCTAACAAGGTTTGATTCGCTTGATCTCGTGGAAATTTTTTCTTGATTGAGTTATATTAGTGCTTATTTTGTTGTGATTTAGTTTGAGATCTGAGTTTTTGATTTGGTTTTCCGTTGAGTTGAAGATTTCTAGTCCTTTTATTGATTCAAGTGGCATGTGAAATTCGGATTGGTGGCCCTTGATTTCTGGTCTTTTCTTAAAATTTTTGTCTGTTGGCCTTGTATTTATGAATTTGAGTTTTCTTTGTTTAGTTTAGCATTGCCTAATATTTTCTTTTGTGGTTTCATTCAAATACTTTAATTTATAACCAAACTCGGTTAACAGTTCCACGGTGAATGCTAGATTTTTCTTTTTCACCATTCCATCAATCTAACAAAATTCAATTATTTTCTCTGGGCAATTCTGTAATTCACATTTCCTGCCTTCTGGTTTCCTATAGAACCAAGACAATGGAAAGGATTAGAATTCCAAAGCTGAAAGCTTTTATTCTTTTGGAACCTAGAAGGATGTAAATTTTACACTTTATTTTGAATCAGGAATCCACTATTTCAAGTTTAAGAGAATGGCTTGCTGATTCAGCCATTGGAAACAACGCTATTTTGAGGCTCATTGCTGGAACTGTATTCATGCATGAGGAAGACTATAATGAGGCTCTAAAACACACAAATGCTGGTGGGACTTTGGAATTGTAAGTCGAATATGACTTTGATATTATTACACATATCTGTAGATCCATCTTTAGAATGTTTATCTTCTCTTGGTTCTTTTTCATTCTTGGAACTTGGTGGGACTATGGAATTCTAAGTCCAATATGACTTTGATATTATTGCACATATCTGTAGATTCATCTTTAGAATGTTTATTTTCTCTTGGTTCGTTTTCATTCTTGGAACTTGGAAGTGCTAGTGCTGAAACACTTGATATTTCTTGCTGTTAATTTTCCTCTTTTGCAATGTTTTCTTGTTTGATTTATACTTTCTTGTCCTCCATCTGAACCCAACAACTCTACTTTTACTTTTACAATGTTAGGATCTTAATGGTTATATTTATATTTCTTGTCATTCATGTTTATGTTATGATGACACTGTTTTTAGTTGGACGGTCAGCTTTGAACTTTAAAGTACAAGATTTCATTGAACTTTCTTCTTAAAATGGGGTAATTTATTTTAATGTTAATTGATAACAATAATATTTGAAATTCATGTTTCTTATAATATAGTGCATTTTAAAAAAAAATAAAATTAAATTAAAAAAAAAAGATATGATATTCCTGCTAGTTCCAAGCATGAATTTCTGTAGTTCATGCTTTTTCTTTCACAATTTCACCCATTAAGTAAAACTTTTTCTTTCCCTCAACTAAATGGCTGAATTTCCATCACCTTTGCCATCTTCTAAATGCCAAGGAAATGAAAATAACCTAGAACTAGACTATTATTGTTTTCACTGGTTGATGGCTTTAGTGATCCCTTTTTTGTTTGGAGAGCAAGGAAGAATAAGGAGAAGAGACAAGAAAAAGGAATTAAAATAGAGGGTTGGGGGGGGGGGGGGGGGAGAGAGAGAGAACAATGAAAGAAGGGGAAAAAGAAATAACCAGAGGGAGCTGTAGGAGTATTACTGGAGGAAGCCAATTATGATAGAATTAAACCAAACAATCAAACTAAAAGAGTGTCTACTTAGCTTTATTTCCAAATCATGTTGAGTTTATTTTTTTAAATATATAGGGAGAAATTGCCAAAATTGAATAATATTGTAAGTTTTGAATGAGAATTGTAGGTTTATATGTGTTTTTGTGCAATTCATTGGCATGGCCTGATTTATATCACTTGGATCTTGCGGGGGGGGGGGGGGAGAGAGAGAGAACAATGAAAGAAGGGGAAAAAGAAATAACCAGAGACTGAGGAGTATATGGAGGAGCAATTATGATAGAATTAAACCAAACAATCAAACTAAAAAGGTGTCTACTTAGCTTTATTTCCAAATCATGTGAGTTTATTTTTTAAATATATAGGGAGAAATGCAAAATTGAATAATATTGTAAGTTTTGAATTGAGAATTGTAGGTTTATATGTGTTTTTGTGCAATTTCTATTGGCATGCCTGATTTATATCACTTGAGATCTTGCTCAGATGTACTAAATCGTGAACCAAGTAATGTCAATTATGGCTATGTTAGTATAGAAGTATTGAACACCAATTTTATCCTTCTAATCATAGTGTCCTCAATCATTTACTTATTACAATAGTTGTTGAAGGATAAGAGAGTAGAAGTTTTGCATGGCTACTTAGCTATTTCTAGTATATTAATGTAGATGGCTGAGAAAAGAAAGATTTAGGATTGGCCTAGATGTTTGTGATGACTTCATGGAATCATGCATAAGGAGAACTGAGTTGGGGAACATCTTCAGCACAGCCCAAATCTTTGAGTTCCAGCAAAGTGACAGTGAATGGATAAATGCTGCTGAAAGATTTTTGAATCAGCTTCCAGGACATGAAATGCCACCCTGTGGTCTGGAGAAGGTGTATTCCATCTGGATGATGTGCTCAGCAAGACATTGAGGTTTTTATTAATTGATTGGAAATCATTGACAAAATTTGAATTTGGGTGGTCTCCCTTCATTAATGGGTTATTTTAGGATATTTTGTTAGGAATTTTTATAGTTTCATGGAGTTTTTCAAGACAATAGGCTTCGTCTATGTTCCAAAACCTAGCTATGTGTGAATATGAAATATGGGCTAAATCATTAACAGGGTTAAAACATTTTCATGGCATCATGCTTCAATTAATAGGATAGAGAAATTCTTAAAAATTGCAGTTCATCAGTTCTCAACATTGAAACCATAGCATCCTACTGTTCCAGGAACGCATTGAATGTCCAAATATTCCTCAAGATGCACAGATCAGATTATGCAGAGAAACAGTTGAGGGTCATGCAGCAGATTGATGAGGACCACACACTTACTCAACTTGCAAATGCATGGTTGAATTTGGCAGTTGTACGTGCAGTATTTTATTTACTATAATTTATACAGTACAAGCATTAAAAATATTCTAATAATGTCTTCTTGTGTAAATCAGGGTGGCTCAAAGATACAGGAAGCATATCTCATCTTCCAAGATTTCTCTGAGAAGTATCCAATGACGAGCTTGATCTTAAATGGGAAAGCAGTTTGTTGCATGCACATGGGAAACTTTGATGAAGCTGAGACATTGTTGCTTGAAGCACTGAACAAGGCAAGTTAACATTAGTGAATATATTTCTCTGTCTCTGTCTCTTTCTTGTTTCAGTTTATGGCTATTAATCCTATGTCTTGCCTGTTTAAACACCGCTTAAATGAAATTCACTTCTTTTCATGAAATTTATTAGGGCTACATAATGCATGCACTATGCATACTTGCTTGCATTATTTTGGTGATAAGTCTGAAATAATTCTTTCTTGTCAATTTATTGCATGTGTTTTTTATAGTTATACTTAAAATCTCTCCTTCTTGGATTCTCTTCTCTCTTCATTTCTTCTATACCCATCTCTAAAACTTTGATTCTACATAATAACCATTGGATTGACTTGCACTGTTATAAAGCATACTAGTGACTAGGGTTTTATTTTGTAATTTCACAGGACGCAAAGGATCCGGAGACTCTAGCTAATCTGGTAGTATGCAGTCTCCACCTTGGTAAACCTTCGTCACGTTACCTCAGGTATTCTTTTCTTCTTCTCTATTTTTTACCCATTTCCATGTAATTTTTTTGTGAACATTATGAGAAAAGCTTGTTTAAGCTAAATAACCATTCCCAAAATACTGGTTTAAAGCATGATATTACAGAAAATGTGATAGATACTTCCAGTCAGTCTTTCAACATGTTTATAATTTTGTGAAGAGCTAGACTATGGTGTTAAGCATTTTTAAAGTTCTTAATATTGCCTTTGCTACCACTAGTAATGGCTATATTTCTGGCATTGGAAAAAAGTAATTCTTATTGTTGTTGTTCTCTAATCTCAATGTTGATTTGCATTGGTGATCTTCCATTTAGTGGTCTTCGCTTTAAACATGCATGTTATATTTGCTGCAATTTGGCATATCAGTACTTGATTGGCTATTGGTATGTAGTAAAATCAGCTTGGATTACAACAGGCTTCTGGCATTTCCTTGCTTCATAATGTATTTGTGATTAGGAGGTTGAATGGTTGTGCTTCCTTTTTGTCCAAAAAAGTGAATGAAGAAACCTAGCCATCTTACCCCACTTTGTAATCTTTTTTGACCTTCTCTTTTTTATATTTATTTTGATTATTAGATAGAGTTGCTGTTTATTAGGTATTTCTTGGAATCTCTTGGTCTTAATTGGTCTCTCTTGTTCTCTAGTCGTCAATGTTCTGAATATTGATCTTGTTGATAGTAGCAATAATGTACCAGTGTGTTGTAAGATTCTGTCGCCATTTCTTCTCTCTTTTACATATGTTGGCTGGTACATATTCTTATTAGGCTTCAGGAAAGTTTGAATTATTCCTGTTTTAGGAAACTGTTTTTGATATCTTCAAAATTAAAAAATGTTACTTAAATGGCTGCAACTTTACAATCAACTTATCCTTTCTCCATAGTTAGAAATGTGGGGCACAGAGGTGGGTGGCAAGCCAACCCAAAAAAAAAAATGTATGAAGAAGAATTGTATTTTCCGCAGTTTGCATTTTGTATCAGGAAACAACAGTTATCATGCTGAATATTTTTCATTTGAGTTCTGGGTGGCTATCTATGCTTAAGGGCTACCAATTTCTCCCATTTTGAGCTATAATGAGCCAGACATAATTGTAATATACCAATGGGAATTTCTGTCTTTGGGAGCTGTTTGTTATAGGAACAGTATATTTATCTCCAATTGACATAAACATAATGAAATTTAAGGTGAAATTTTGGTTGCTTTGAAGCTTTTAAAATCAGGTTAACGCTATTATTGAAAGCATAAATAGATTTTTGGCTAATTTGATTGTTGGAAATTTAGAGCTTTAAACTTGAGGTTGCTTTGAAGTCTTTCCATACTATGTAGTCACTCCGCATTTTATTATTAAAAGGGAAGGTAACCATTTGATGCATTGACCTACATGGTTTGCTTTACAACTAACTGGGGAGATCAAAGCTTCTCATTCAATTGTTTTTCTTTAATGTGTGGAAAATCTTTGCATAATGGATTAATATTGGTGAATGACTTTATATAATGCTTGTTTTGCAGTCAATTGAAACTTTCACATCCAGACCACATACTTGTTAAACGTGCAACATACGCCGAGGAGAACTTTGAAAGAGCGGTCCAATCGGTTGCTTGATGTACCGTTGGTTTTTGGCAAGTGTGAAGGTTGTTAATTCACTCTTGTCGCAGCTGTTTTTGTCTGGTTATGTAACCTACAACAAATACACAATTGTTAGCGAAAGTATCTGTTGAAATAGAGCTCAAATCGAGTTAGTAATGACATTTTCGAGGCCTTTTGGACAAGGAAACAACTGATATATCAATTATTTTTAGTGATTTGATTTCATTTGTTCTGGACTTTGAGTGGTGTTGCATATATTTTAGAGAGTGAAACAATCCATTTTGGATATAATTGAAATTCTGCATTCTCAATTTACCTTTTTTTCTGGTTTCATAAAAATATGTGGCATCTCCTGTCGGGAGCGTTAGCTAAAACAGTTGACACTGTGATGTAAGTCTAATTTGAGAGCTAAAAGAGTCGATGTATCTAAGCGTTGTTCTGTTTGTGGTGCATTTGAAGAAAATGAATTACATGCAATTTTATTTTACATGCAATTCATCAATATAGAAGAATTGCGCCATTTTGTGGCTGGAAAAACAGTAGCAACTACTTGCTATATGGTTCCTTCTTTGATTGTGCGAATAGTGTGCTTGGATAACAATTTAGGGAGGAAAGAAAATATGAAAGAATTTTTCATCTTGGTGTTTGGATATTTGAGAGGAAAATGAGGGAAAATGATTTTATGAATAGTAAAATTATGAGTTTAACCTTTATTTTTTTTCAATAAAAGTACAATAAATTGAGGTAAAATTGTAATTTTAATCATTTTCTTCTATTTTTCTTCCAAACTGTAGAGAAAATGATATGTGGGTCCCATAACTTATTTTTCTTCTTTATTTTTTTTTCTGCCATATTCTCTTCATTTTCCAAACAAGTGAATGAAAGAAAATTGGAACTATTTTTCTCCTTAATTTTCTTTTCTCTCTTATTTTCCACGGATCCAAATATAATGGAAAGAACTTTCACAAAGTTGAGGTTAAGTTTAATTATTTTTATAAGATTAACGAAGTCCAAATATAATACCAATCCAATTAGCTACTAATTCATAAAAATGTTGACCAATTATAACTTCTATCAACTACATTAAATGCTTTTTAAAGCGGGCAGAGTTTTGTTTTTTTAATATAAAAAGTTAAAAACCATTGTGGATATCCACGTCATCGTGAATTATGAAGTCAATTAAGTCCTAATTAATTAACAATGAACTCAAAATTGATTTGACAAAAATGGAACCAAATGACTATAATTGCGACAAAAAAAGTCTTCTAAAAAAGCTGAGTATATAAGAGAAACAAGCTAGCCATAGATTTGAATATCTAATTTTTTGTTCATAAATTAATTTCTAATAATCATTTTTGCGCTTAAATTTTTATTTTTTATTTTTCCAATTTGTTTCAATTTGCCTTTTTCTTGTTTGGGAGCAAATTTAGATTTGCCCATAGATTTTGAAACGGCAACAATATATATCTGGTACCCTTTGATGTGATGTGATGTGGTGAAAATGATGAGTTTTTGATTTTGCACTGAATTATTTGGTGGAGTAGGTGAATTGATTGTTACGTGGAGCATATAAAGAGGATGGGAAAAGCAGATAGAGCTATTATTATCTTTTGCTTTTTTTTTTTTTCTCTCTCTCTCTCTTTTTAGTATTTTGGTGTTTTTATCAAAATCTAACGGCCAAAAGGGTTTTTTTTTTTTGGTTTTTTCTTACGGAAAAAATAAAAATATTTTTAATTTTGATCCTACCACAAGTATTCTTTTACATTCTCATTTCAGAATATATGACAATCTTTCTTTATTGGAGTTGTTTCTTGAGATCCTGACTTTATAGAGATTATCTATCATTTTTATAAAAAAAAAAAATTTAAAGAAAAAAAAGCGGTTAATTATTTTGATTATATTTGATAATAGTATTTAAAAAAACTTTTAGAAAGATAATATATAAAATAATTTATAACGGATAAAATAGTATTGATTAAAATGTTATTTCACTTAGCGTTTCACATTTTTTTATTGGAAATTTTTTAACAATCTTGCCCCTAATTTTAAAATGCTTTTGTTATGTCAACTGTCTCGTTTTCCAACTGTGTGTGTAAATTCTTGCCTGAATTCATTCTTTGGTTAGCTAGTTATTAAGAAGTAATTAGCCTCGCGTGAATCCATTCCTCGGCTAGCTAGATATGAAAGAGTAATTAACCTCTATTAATATCAGCTTAAAGATTTTCTTTTCAATAGTTGCTAATTTGCTATGATACTGCAAGTCTGCAATTATATTAAAAAATACATTATTTTACACAAAAATTTAAGCAACATAATTTAATAATGAATTAATAGATGGACATGTGAGGAAATTGTATTATCATTTTAGATATTGAACAAACTATAGGTTACTTGGAAAGAGAGAATTCAATTTCATTGTCACAGAAAGATCAAAATATATACAACATATACAGCTATCAAAATATTCTCCCAATAAAAGCTAAACTACCAAAATAGAACCAAATCAAACAAACAAAAATATATACAAAACAATATACAGCTAATTCAAAATATTTCTCCAATAAAAGCTAAACTAGCCAAAATAGAACCAAATTCAAAACAAAGGAAAGGAAAATATATTTACATAGAAATTCTTAAATTAGCAATCCAAATCAACGGCAATCAGCCAATTGCCACCTAAATTAATGGCAATGACCATGCAAGTCAATGAACAAACTATAGGTTACTTGGAAAGAGAGAATTCAATTTCATTGTCACAGAAAGATCAAAATATATACAACATATACAGCTATCAAAATATTCTCCCAATAAAAGCTAAACTACCAAAATAGAACCAAATCAAACAAATAAGGAAAGGAAAATATATTTACATAGAAATTCCTAAATTAGCAACCCAAATCATAAATTAGCAACCCAAATCAACGGCAATCAACCAATTGCCACCTAAATTAATGGCAATGACCATGCAAGTCAAATGACAGCAGAAAGCTAGCTGTAACAGTAGAGCTGTAATACCCCCCCTCAAGATGGAGCATGAGGATCTTGAATGCCCATCTTGCAAAGAAGAAACTGAAATTGATCCTTTCCTAATGCTTTGTGAAGATATCAGCTGGCTGCATTGAACTACGAACATAACTGGTGCAAATATTACCAGAAATTATCTCATTACGAATAAAATGACAATCCACTTCAATATGCTTAGTGCGCTCATGATAAACAGGATTAGCAGCGATATGTAAAGCAGCTTGATTATCGCAATACAATTGCATAGGTTCAGTATGCGTCACACCAAAAGAATAAACCTTTCAACCATTTAAGTTCACAAGCAGTAGCAGTCATAGACCGGTATTCAGCTTCAGCAGATGAGCGTGAAACCGTCTGTTGTTTCTTAGTCTTCCATGAGATAGGCGAGTTACCCAACAGAATAAAATAACTCGTTAAAGAGCGTCTTGTCAAGGGACAACTCGCCCAATCCGAATCACAATAAGCAATCAATTTTAAATCACAATCAGCACGTAGCAAAATACCTTGGCCTGGATTTCCTTTTAAATATCGCACTACTCTTAAAGCAGCATCCCAATGAGCTTTCTTTGGCTGTTGCATAAACTGTGCAAGAATATGCAGAGTAAGTAATTCAAGTAAGATAATTCAGGCCGGGTTATAGTCAAATAAATAAGTCGACCCACCAAACGTCTATATTGAGCAGGATTGTCGACATTATCGCTTTCAGTAACAGCCAGCTTGTGATTTTGTTCAAGTGGAGTATGAATTGGCTTGGAACCCAACAAGCCAACTTCAGAAATCACGTCCAAAGCATATTTTCGTTGACACAAAAAAATTCCATCCAAGTTTCTTGCCACTTCAATCCCTAAGAAAAATTTCAGCTTGCCCAAGTCCTTCATATGAAAACATTGACCTAAATAATTTTTGAACTCTTGCACAGCGGAATCTTTATTGGAAGAAATAATGAGATCATCAACATAAATGAGAACATTCAATTGAGTACCCTTATCTTGAAAAATGAATAAAGAGTAATCTGATAATGATTGTTTAAAACCATACTCCTTATGTTAAGCCAATTCTCTTCAATACCAGCATTCTAGGGCTTGTCGAAACCGGTATAGAGACGCAAACCGTATAGAGACTTTCGAAGTCTACAAACCTTCCCTGGTGTTGAAGAAGCAAATCCAGGCGGCATCTTCATATAAACTACTTCTTCCAAATCACCATGTAAGAATGCATTTTGGACATCCATTTGATGAAGTTCCCAATTCTTAGCAGCTGCTATGGCAAGAAATGTGCGTACCGTCCCCATTTTTGCTGTAGGGGCGAAGGTTTCTTGATAATCAATACCTTCCAATTGATTGTTACCAAGTATTACCAACCGTACCTTGTACCGTTCAACACTTCCATCAGAGTTGTACTTGATTTTATACACCCATTTGCTGCCAATTGCTTTCTTCCCAGGAGGTAAAGTTTCAACTGTCCATGTACCATTTTCTTCTAAAGCTTGCATTTCTTTTCTCATGGCCTCTCTCCATCGTATATCTTTGATTGCATCAACATAATTGTTTGGTTCATGACCTGAAGTAATTGCTGCCAAGAAACACCGGTGTTGCACAGAAAATTTATCATATCTCATATAATGTGCTAAAGGATAAGGTGTACCTGAGGAATCAGATTGGTTGGATGAGCACGTTGAGGGGCTTATTTTGGTGGCATTAATCACATAATCTTTTAAATGAATGGAAGGACGTTTGACCCTATGTCCTCTTCCTAACTGCTCTTCTATGACATCACTGCTTTCCCCTTCATTTCTATTATTTTGAATGGATATCTCCTCTTCGTGATTGCTTGTAATATTTCTATCTATACTCTCAATATTTTCCTCAGCCATGCCACCATTTAAATCCTCAACTTCATCACTGGACTCTCAACTTCATCACTGGACTCCTCAACTCTATTATTTATACTTAAAATTTTCTCATGTGCATATGGAAATTCATTTTCAACAAAGACAACATCCCTAGATACAAAATATTCCTTTGTCTCCAAATCATATAATCTCCAGCCCTTCTTACCCACTGGATATCCAACAAAAACACATCGTCGACTTCGACTAGCAATCGTCGACTTCGACTAGCAAATTTATCTCAAACCCGATTTTGATTATGTGCATAGCACAAACAACCAAAAATCCGAATGTGTTTGTAAGAAGGAATTTCGCCATAAATAATCTCATATGGAGTTTTCCCTTGCAACAATAGAGATGGAGTCCTATTAATTAAATAACCAGCTGTAAGAACACATTCTCCCAAAATTCTATCGGCAAATTTGCTTCAAAACGCAAAGTTCTTACAAGCAAAGCTCTTGCAATATTGAGAATATGGCGATGCTTCCTTTCCACCCGTCCATTTTGTTGTGGTGTTCCTACACAAGAAGTTTGGTGCAAAATTCCATTTTCAAGAAAATAATCTTTCAAGCACATAAATTCACTTCCATTATCACTCCGAACAATTTTCACATTTTTTTCAAATTGTCGTTCAACCATCATAAAAAAATTCTTTAGAGTACCAGCTATTGCATTTTTTCCATTCAACAAAAATATCCACACAGCACGAGAGTAATCATCAATAATTGTTAAGAAATAAATTGCTCCACAAGAAGCTGGGACTTTATAAGGTCCCCACAAATCACAATGGATCAATTCAAAACAATTTTTAGCTTTACTGTCACTAGAAATGAATACCTCTCTTGTTTGTTTTGCTCTAAAACAAGCGTCACAAGTTTTATTATTTTTCCTAGCTATTCTACCAACTTCTGGAATTAATTCAACAACTTTAGAAGAGGGATGACCCATTCTTTTATGCCAAAGCTCAAAAGATCCCACAACAGCCACCTTATGAGCACGTAATGAAGCCACACCTTTAAGAAAATAAAGCCAGAAAATAAAGCCCCTCTCTTTGCTCACCCGCTCCAATCAGGTTCCTCGAGTTTAGGTCCTGTATAGCACAAATCTTATTAGTGAGTTGAATAACAAATTGTGAGTCATTAAGAAGTTGTGAAACAGAAATCAAATTGCATTTTAAGTTGGGCACATATAATACTCGTCGCAATATCAAATCTCCTCCAAGGAATACAGTTCCTTCTTTCGTTGCCATGGTCTCTTCTCCATCAGGTAATTCAACTGAACATGGCTCAATATCACGCCAATCATGCAAAAAATCCAGCGTTCCTGTCATATGATGAGAAGCGCCTGTGTCTATAATCCAAGGAAAAAGTTTTTGTTTACCTGTCATCCTTTCATCAGTACCATTTTGATGTGAACTCAACATGCCCAGCAATGTCGTCCATTGCTCATCATTCAATCCAATAAGACCTTTTCGATCTGAATCCTGAATCAGTAATGTTTGCACGCCCACTGTCATTTCCAATTCGTTGTGTGGCATTGGCACGAGCTCCTCCTCTTTTACCACGCCTTTGGTTTCCATTTCCACGTCCAGTCAAGTTTCCACGCGGCCTGTTACCCCACCATTCAGGATATCCTATCAGTTGAAAACAATTTGTAGCCTCATGTCTGTCTTAATTGCAATTAGAACAAATCACACTTTTATCCTTATCCCCCCCTGAATTTCGACCACTTGATCGAATTGCGAAACTCATGGGATAAACTCATGGGATTACCTCTTTCTTCCTTAGTTCGCGTAACAGTTCTTACCCGCTCTTGTTGAACAACTATAGCATAAGCACGATTTACATTGGGTAGAGGCTCGGTACTCAAAATATTAGAGCGTACCGTTCCGTACCCTTCTTCATCCAAGCCCATTAGAAATTGATGGACTCTTTCTTCTTCACGCTTTCGTTCCAATTCAATGGTCAGATTACATTTGCAACCTGTGCAAACACATGTTGGGATTTGATCATAATTGTTTATTTCATCCCACAACAATTTGAGTCTCCCAAAGTAAGAGACAATGGACTGACCATCTTGCTTACAATTTGCCAAATCTGATCTTAGTTGCTGCATTCGCGGACCATTTCCAATTGAGAATCTCTGTTTAATATCTTCCCACAAATTCCCACAAACCTTACACTTTCTATGTGTAGAGATAGTCGAGGCGAAGAGTTGGTTCCAATGGTTGTTAAGCTACCCACGAAACCAACATAGAATTAACTGTCCACCAGTCTTCTAGATCCGTCGAATCATCCGGCTGGGTTGTTTGTAGTTCCATCAACAAAAACCCATATTTCTTTTTTGGCTCACATGCAGTTCCGGCACATAGCCGTGCCCATTCTTTCAAATTCTCCCCTTCAACTGAACTTGGGTAATCAAGTTACTGGGTTATTCATTCGAATTTCAGTGATGTAAGGATTTGTAACTTCTTTTCTATTCCAGAACTCTCATCATTTCTTTTTCGTCAACCATGGCATCTTGATTACCATGAACAAAACTATAGGTTACTTCTGGAAAGAGAGGAAATTCAATTCATTGTTCCGAAAGATCAAAATATATACAACATTATAACACAGCTATCAAAATTTCTCCCAATAAAAGCTAAACTACCAAAAATTAGAACCAAATCAAACAAACGAAGGAAATGGAAAATATTTTTCATAGAATTCCTAAATTAGCAACACCAAATCAATGGCAATTAAGCCCAATTGCCACCTAAATTAATGGCAATGACCAGCAAGTCCCCAAATCAACGGCAATCAGCCAATTGCCACCTAAATTAATGGCAATGACCATGCAAGTCAAATGACAGCAGAAAGCTAGCTGTAACAGCAGAGCTGTAATAGATATGACAGTGATTTCAATTTATATAGATAGGCTACACACTATAAATTGACATTAACAAAAAAAAAAAACATATTATATAAATCACTCTTAATTTAATACATCCAAACACCAAATAATTTAATATATCCAAATACCAAATAATTATTGGCCATATACAAAGGTAAACATGAAAAAATAATTATTATTCTTTAAGACCACAAATGTAACAAGTATTTTAAAATAAATTATTTTTTCAAATGTAACAAATATTATTTAACCGATATAGTATTTATATATAAAAAAAATGTTGCCACGTCGATGAGAAGTACCTTCAACTTCTTATGGTTTTCCTGATTATCCTCCATGAGGGAATTAGAGTTAAACTTATACCGGATAAAATCCAAAACCAAATTCATATCCCTATCCCTATTCCTATTCCTATTCCTATCCCTATCCCTATCCCTATCCGCATCCCTTCTCCAATCCTCCTTAATATGTATTACATGAAGAAGTCAGCCACTTTGATGAAGAGGTAGTATACGAGGATCCAATTGTTAATGGGCATTCGAGTTATTATGAAAATTGTGGGTATTTCGGATATCTGATGATAGATTCACAATAGACGGAGTTGAGTCCTCAAAGGCAACCACCGGGTTGCTACCTCCACCAAAAGTATTTGCTTGGGACTTTCTGAATGTGTTCAACATGAATGATAACAATGTTGGTGCTGGATATTCGGTTTTTACTCAAAAGGAAGATATGGGTACTTGTCGATTTCAAGTAATTCCAATTTAAAAGAGGATTTGAAAGATGAAACAAAGCAAAAAGTAATTAAAAAAAAAGTTAACAAATAGGGCAACTAATTAAATACACAATTATGGATAGTTAAGTCAGACACATGTTGTGTCGTTTAACACTGCTCTCGAATTATGTTACCGATTTTAAGATATTATACAATAAAGTATTAATAAAATAAAATGTAGAATTTTTTTAATCAAATGTCTATTTATAGACCTTAAAATAAAAAATATATTGAAAGTATATGGTATTTCTTTTTTCTACTTTTCCCTAATTAAAAATTAGCTGAAATAAGTTTCCGTTAGGTATTTAGGTTTTCAGTGTGACTTCAGGTTTGTTGGGTTGGATTGTTCATGATGCTAACAGTGTAGCGCACTCTAAGCTCTATATCTTATGCATTTTCCTGCCTTTTTATACCAAAAAACAAAAATTAGTTGAAGTAGAAATACGTACAAACAAGAAAAAAAATTTTGTAATTTGTATTTTGGTTACTAATTTTTACAATTTTTTTCATTATATTTTTTCTAAAAATAGGAAAATACCCTCTATCTATTCATTTAATTTTTGTTAAAAACAGAGACAAAAAATTAAAAAAGAAAAACTTTAAATGACATTTGCCTTTTATTTATTTTTATAATATATATAACAGGAAAATTAATTATTTAATCCTTTGAGGTTTGATAAAATTATTTAAGTAGTTTTTATCGAATATCTATTCGTTCGCATCAGTTAATATAAGTGATCCTTCCGTCTAATTCAGAGGGTTTTCTCCGTTAAGTGATATGTGAAATGACGAGAGTACCCCTGGGCAATATGAATGTCAGGCCTTCTCTGCCTCTCCACCACCTTCGCCTGCATCGCCTCCTCCACCATCGCCGCCTCTGCCATCAACATCCCTATCCCCGCCATCTTCTCCACTCCACCTGTACCTCCATCTCCGCCTCCACCACCGCCGTACCTTCATTATCGTTTTCGTTTTCAGATTCAATGTCGTCGTTTTCCTCTGCAAAACTAACGCCATCCTTTTCTTTCTTATCGTCGTCCTCCTAGTCAGGCACAGCAAACTCTAAGTCAAAAAAAGGGACCGTCATTGTCATCTTCATCATCATTGATTTCGATTGTATTCTGAGCCACAGAAGTGACGATACCGGTGGCGCGTGAGTTAAGAGTGGAATCTCCACCTCCAACGATGATGCCTTCAGTAACATCAAGTTTATATCGAAAGGAGGTTTTTTTTTTTTTTTTTTTTTTTTTTTTTTTTTTTTTTTTTTTTTTTTTTCAAATTGAACTTCTTTGTTCAGATTCTTTGTCAAGTTCTCTGAAATCCTTGACAAAGGCCTGTTGCCTGATGTATTTACTTACAATGCTCTAATTTCTGGCGGAGATAGGAAAAAATATTCTGAAATTCTCTTGGATCAGCTTTTCGAAGCTTGATGCGGGATGAAAAAAGAAGAGAAGGGTAAGTTTGTCAATTTGCTATATTTTCTCATATTCACGGGTACAAAAGGACTATTTATATTCAGGGATACACACGTCAGGATGACTCTGTAAATTCATTTTGAAAGTAGCTGTTACTTAAATAATTTCGTGAAACCTCGGGATTAAATAATTAATTTTCCTATATAATATCCCGTTCCGTTATTTACATCGAGCAACAACGGCTTATGCTTAGCCAGCTAAAACAAGTTCACAGTTTTCAGTCCCTCAACTCTTTACAGATTACGACGAAGAAGACGACAATGGTCATGAGTTCATGATCAATTAACAGTAACAGTAACAAAAAAATGGATTTAATTCAATTCAGTAGTACTTCACGCTTGTTCACTTTTCCAGTGCTGAATCTTCCTTTCAAGAAGAATGATTCCGATAATTTTCTCAAATTCCGGCGGACATTTTCTTGTAATAGTAAGAGTTCTCATCCATTGATTCAGGCTTCCAGAAGAGATTCTGGAGGTGGTGCAGAGGTAGAGACTATGGTGGTTGTCGACCAGCCTAAATTACGGCGACGTTATCAGGTATCTGAAGGCCATCCGGCGCCGTTTGGTGCAACTGCTAGCGATGACGGAGTTAATTTTTCTGTGTATTCAACCAATGCTGTTTCTGCTTCTCTCTGTTTGATTTCTCTTGATGATTTGCCTAAGGTTAGTTAGTTAATTAATTCTTCTTTTTGTTCTTTTGTTTCTAAATTAATTAATTATTGTTTTCATATGCTGGTGCAGAATAAGGTGACTGAGGAAATCCCACTTGATCCTCTCACCAATAAGACTGGGGATATTTGGCATGTATTTCTCAAAGGAGATTTTAAAGATATGTTATATGGGTACAGATTTGATGGAAAATTATCTCCAGAGGAAGGGCATTACTTTGAGTCTTCTGAGATTGTATTGGATCCTTATGCAAAAGTTAGTGCTTGTTAGTTGTTATGGTTTCTTTATTAATTCTTGATAGAGTTATATTTAGTTTCTTGACTATGTAATTTTTCTATGAATTTATTTCGGCAGAGTGTTTGGATGCTGATTTCTGATTATTTGTCTAGGCAGTTATAAGCAGAGGGGAGTTTGGTGTTTTAGGACCTGATGATAATTGCTGGCCTCAAATGGCTGGAATGATACCGGCTGCTCGAGATAAGGTACTCCGCTGGAATGAAAATTTCTCTGTTACTATTGACACTTTCATTACCTGAAAAGAACATTTAATCTATGGTCCTCTTTGATTGTTGGGCAAACTAATTTTGCAAGTGATTTCGTTATCAATAGTGAAAATTTATTTGGAGTTCTTGGAAAAGATGTTAAATTGTAGATGAGTATTTCTATAATTAAGAAAGTGTGGCCATTACAATTGAAAGAAGCAATGGTGAAGTTTTTTTATGTTGACTTTTGACTTTCAATATGGCTTGTCTGTTGTCCTATGTTACCTAAAGCATGGATCCTCTGGCATGTAGAATGAAAATGGGAAGGTAAAATGTCCTATTGTAAAATGTGGTGCAGTGGTCATGCTTTTATTAGGTTTTTGAATCATTAAATTGGAAGAAAATATAACTATCCTGATTGCATATGTATAGAAAGCTATGGGAAACATCATATAGTGGATTAAAATAAGAAAAACTACAAGGATATTCTAATGTCCTACAGTTATAATAACTTAGTTCCAGTTTTTAAAAAATGGTTTTTCACTAAATCAATAAAATAAAATAAATCTAAATCCAATAATGCACTGCATAATAATGAATGAATAATATATCTGAGATTTGTGTGACTAAGATTGTTTGATTCTCTTCCCATTCTTGTTTGCACTTTGGAATGCTAATTTGAGCATTCCAATTACCAATGATCAATAATTTGGATTGTATGATGTAGAATACAAATCACTAGGAGTGCAGTGTTTATGATATGTGCTGTACAAATCATCCACTTTTGAGTTCCTAAATTGTGCCTAATTTGGCTTCAAAGAAAATCATTATCTATTGATTTTTTTTTTAATTTTCTTTTGATTTTAATCTCTTTGATTATTTTAGTTGGGTGTTTTAAATTTATTTTAAATTTAATGACTGATGCTGCTTTTTCAGATCAACTTAGTTTATGTTGACGAAATCTATTTTAGATCTACTAAATTATAGTAGGCAACATATTAGGTTGAAATTGAAACCAAATCCTTGTTAGCTTCTTGAATTAATTGGGAGGACCCATTTTTTATGTTTTCATGAATCTGAATAGTTAGTTTGTTTTGATTGAACTGTTAAAATTTTTACTCTGCACAAGTTTTGGGGAAGATAGTCAATTTTTCATTTTAGCTTAAATTTTCTTATCAGACTAACTGTTGTTTTCCAATTTGTTCTCCAATATCTATCAAAATGGTTACTACTCAAACATGATTTTAGCCTTTTGATATTTGCAGTTTGACTGGGAAGGAGATTTACCATTGAAATATCCACAGAAAGATCTCATGATATATGAGATGCATGTTCGAGGTTTTACACAACATGAATCAAGCAGGACTGAATTCCCTGGGACATATCTCGGTGTTGTGGAAAAGCTTGATCATCTGAAGGTAGATTTTGGTGCATTTCCACAATTAGGCTTCATGGGAGAGTAATTTGTTGATATCTAGAATATATATAAAGTACGAATGGGGAGGGGGAACATTAGGATTAATAAAAAAGAATATGGTTAAATTTAATAATTACAAATTGCCGTCTATTTTGATTAGGTAAAAAATAAGATAAGATATTATTATTTTTTAAAAATCTGTAGTTTGATTGGTTATTTTGATTTCCTACCTTCTTATTGTATTAGAAATTTGAATTAGTATAAGCTTCTTAATTAAGAATCAGGAAATCATTTGTAAAGATTTAAATTAGTAAGTTAGTATATTCTTATTATATTAGAAATTTAATTAGTATAAAACTTCTCAATTAAGAAATAGAAATTTAATTAATAAATTTTTTAAAGAATATTAATCCATAGTGTCAAGCACTTTATTATATATTAGATCTTTGGTGCAAAAACTGAAGAAGGAAAAAAGACGATTAAAACTCTCTGGCTCCAAGTTATACGAATTTTTAATTATTATTTTTTCAATTTTGTTTTCATGTGCATATAAGGCTTAGATTAGGCTTTAATCTTTTCATTCTTTTTTCTTTTTTTAATAAAAAAAGTTGCATCAGAAAATTTCTTTCCTCAACAAATATGGTTGAAGTCTTATAAAAAATGTCGGTAGATCTCTCGTCTCTTAAGATACATAAAATTAGGGTAGTCTCTAATTGCAAACTCTAATTTTATTTCTCTTTAACAAGCAATCCATTGAATCCCAGAAATCCTATTAGATTCTTGAGATAATTTTTTGATTTCGAATTCCAGAAATATTGCTTATGTAATGATGATTCCTTGTGTAGTGGCTGAATCTTTTTTTTTTTTATTTTTTATTTTTTATGAAACCAATTATTGTGTAGGTGTATGACGATTGTATATATACTCAATGTAAATATGTATTTTTCAGCTGTTTTTTTCTTTCTTTCTCTCTTTTCTTTTTCTTTTGCATATTCCAATGATTTCTAATTAATATATAATGGAATATCTTTAGGATTGTTCATGAAATAATATTTCTCCATTGTAAAAAATTTATATGGAAAAAATTCAATTTTATTGAAAGTATTTAAAAAGTTCAAACATTTAACTAATTCGAAATACTAATATTTTTGTAATTTGTTATTATATAAACCTAATATTTGAACCAAAAAAGGGAAGCCGAATTTTTAAAGGTTTTTTTGAAACAGGGATACTTATTAATATAGACGGTTTATAATATTATACAATAAATCAAAAAAAATAAAAAAAAGTACTGCATATAAAAATTATCACAAAGTACGTACAACGACTGTAAACAATGTGTAATGCACATCGAAAAAAACCAGTTTAACTAAATATGAGTAGTATTATTTCTTTAAGTCCTAGAGAATTATTGCTATCAGTCTCCGTATGCACTACATGCATAAATATATTGGTGGAGTCTGGTTTGTGGTAGCTGAAACATTTACGTAGTTGAGTGCTAAATGGAGATTCATGCAGTGAGTCTGGCTTTCCAGGAGTGAGTCCTTAGAGAATTCCACTACTTTGTAGTGGCTGAGTGAGAGGATGGTCCTTTATTATTTTATTCCCCCATATTTCCAAATATTAGATTTCCATTTTAGGTATCTCTTTAGATATAAGGAAAATTATCTTGGGTACAAATAGGCAATATTTTCTATTCCCAAGTCGTGCTATTGTCTTCTTTGGATGTGTTAATTTCATTAGAATCTGCAACTAGTTATTTTTGAAATTTGCAATGCATTCTCTATCTGGACCTCATCATGTTCTATTATTTTCAGCTGGTGTGATTGATGTGCCTATTACCTTAGCTGATACAATCTGGAGCATTTTTCTTGTGGCATCTTCCATTTCATGTGTGATACATTTCAGGGTGCTAGAGATTGTTTTCTAAAATACTATCTATTTTACATACTGTTATTTTTGGTGGTGTTTGCAAGTAGCTTTCTAAAATCAACAGAGCCCAACTCTTGAAGTATTGCACCCTAATTATCACCTGGAAATTTCCCTCCAAATATTTTTTCGATATTCTCTTTGATGCTATGCTGGTTTTATTGGGGCATATGGTATATGTTTTTCATCCTGATTCTAACTGTTCCTTACTTGGAATTGCTGGTTTTCAGGAACTTGGCGTCAATTGTATAGAGTTAATGCCATGCCATGAGTTCAATGAGCTGGAGTACTACAGTTACAATTCTGTCTTGGGTGACTACAAGTATGGTCATGTTTATTTTTGCTAGTAACTTGTTTATAGTATATAAGATGTATTAGCTTGTGAACATTCAGGTAATTCCATGTTAAAGCTGTAGCCCCTAGATAAATCTGAATTTGAATTCATAGGCAGTCAAGAAGGTATTATGAGAATGGAGCACCATTAATACTATTTTATTGCTGATCACTTCCTGTTCTTCTTGTTGATATTTGACTATGAGCAATCGGATGCCAGCACATAATGCAAATGATTTCTTTATTCCCTAAACTCTAGATTATTATGCTTCGTCATATCATATGTTGCTTAAATCTCCAATCTGTTTCTACAATGCTCCTGAAAATCTTACCATATGGTCACTGTCTTTATACCTTAATCTAATTTACCTGAAAAATTATTATGTAGAGCTATTAACGATTCAGATAAGCTTCTTCTGTACACACATGTATTACCTGAGAACTCATTTGCTGGCTGAAGAATCTTTATGTTTTGATTGATGCCTCAAACCCATCCCGATGATACTGCTGTTCGGATTGTGGCTTATATTCAAAGAAGCTAATACACAGTGAAAATCTTGAGGCAGCAGGAGAGTCTTGTAATGGAGAATATTTTTGTACTTTCGAGTTTCTCGATATTCCTATTTTTAGAAGGAAAATCCAGTAATCTACAAATAGGAGCTTGTAGCTTTCTCGTTCATAGTGAAAAGTTCTTGGAGTCTCTACGTGAATGTGGCCACATGTAAAAATTTCTTGTGGTTTGTCTTTCTCTCCTTTTGTTTTCATTCTAATCTGTGTCTGTGCATCTTTGTTGTTTACTTTTAACAACTCTTTCATCTCAACATTATTTTGGATCTTTGCTTGGAGTTTCCTTTCTTCTCCTTTAGCTATTTATGGCTAAGTAGATGAGTAAGCGCATCTTCATTTGTAAGACTGGTGCATTTCAAAAGGATTAGTTTGCATGTATCTATTTCCTTATGTAGATGTGCACATAAGATATAATTAACATTTTCATAAATTTCAAAACTTAAGAAACGACATGAATTTTACAAACAAATTCATTTTCTGAGCTCAACTTCTTACTAAATCTCTTCTTCAGGATGAACTTTTGGGGATATTCAACTGTCAATTACTTTTCACCTATGACAAGATATTCTTCTGCTGGGACACGTAATTGTGGCCATGATGCAATTAATGAATTCAAGCTTCTTGTTAGAGAAGCTCATAAACGAGGAATTGAGGTGACAGCTGGTTGCACTATGTTGTGGATTTTCTCTTGCGAGGTTTTCTAAACATTCTTACCTTATTTTATTTGAACAGGTGATTATGGATGTTGTTTTCAATCACACAGCTGAAGGCAACGAAAAAGGCCCCATCTTATCTTTTAGAGGAGTTGATAACAGTGTCTATTACATGCTTGCTCCAAAGGTATAGTGCTTGAGATGATGCAAGTTGTTTCAGATGTTAAATAAAATGAATTAATTTAGAAAAATAATGTGATCCATTAGTCATAAATATGACTTGAAGATAGATGATTCCAAATGATGGAAGGGAAATGAAAATGTCTGCATATTTTTCATGAGGATCAAATGTCTTGCCTAAGATGTTATCCAGATTCAGTTAATCTCTTCAATATGGTTTCTCTATCCACTTTAGTCTTTTTCTCCATTCATGTTTTGATTGATGATTGACCATTGTTTCCCTTTCTGTCCTTAAAAATACTATTAACGTTCAATTTTTGTGTTCTCTTTGGAATTTCAATCTCAATGAGACTAGTATGATCATATAGATTTTATTTCTGCTTTCCAGTGTTCAATTTAAAACAAAATGGATTAATCCATATTTGATACATGTTTCAATAAATCAACAATACTTGTGGCAATATGGATATAACAACTTTGTCCTTCTAGTTGAACTTTGCATGATCTTTTATCTTGGGCAATAAATGCTGATGATCCTTGACTTATCTTTGAGTTTTTAAGCTATCCATATTATGAAGGGTTTAAAAGTTGGACTACAATTTAATGATTTATAATTTGCATTAATGTTATTATTGTAAGCTAACTCTTACTATATGTCATTACAGGGAGAGTTCTACAATTATTCAGGTTGTGGAAACACATTCAATTGTAATCATCCTATCGTGCGCCAATTTATATTAGACTGTTTAAGGTATGCATGAGCTGGCTATGCCAATTTATGGCTAACATTGAAAGGGAAAAAAAAAAAGGATGACACCATGTATCTGCCAAATACCATTTCTGTAATTTTACGTTTAATTCCTTTTCTAGATATCATTATTTTGGACAGTGAAAATTGATCTAATAATGCATCAGACTCGCAGTTAAAGTATCATACATGGCTTAGGAATGGTTTAGAATTCCAAAATGAATTGTTTATCTGTTGCGTATATGGTTCCTTACTTTCTTTTTTTCCTAAAATTTTATAGAAGGTAATAAGTTTTGTCTTTTTTTTTTAATTAACGCTTTCCTGTTGTAGATTTTGTTCATTTCTCTCATGTAGAATATTTATTTTCTTTTGCTAGGGTTATACCACGTCCTTGCCTTTTAGTGACCTCTTACTTGTGTAAAGGGGATAAGTGCTTTTGGTGTAATCCTTTCATCTGTATACCAGTAATGTTCTACAAACTATGTATATTGAGTTTATCTGTTTTTTAATATGTAGTCAGAGAATAGGACATCAAATGTGCAGAACATGCATGCTCTATCATTATTTTTTCTTTTGTTTATTTTCTTGCTTGCAGATTATGGATTAATTCATGATTTGTGCTATTCTTTGGTTGCAACTTTCCTTCTTTGCTATTGTGTGTGTTAGAAGGTTTTGGCATTGCTCTCTTGTGATGCAGATATTGGGTAATAGAAATGCATGTGGATGGCTTCCGCTTTGATCTTGCTTCTATCATGACCAGGGGTAGTAGGTTAGTTAAACAATCTGAATAACTCTATATACTTGTGTGATTTTATATTAAATATTTGTTTAGTTCAATTTTCTTACTGTTGCTTCTTTGTGTTCTTTCTCAACAAGTCTTTGGGATGCAGTTAATGTATTTGGGAATCCCGTAGAGGGCGACTTGCTGACGACTGGCACCCCTCTTAGCAGTCCTCCATTGATTGACATGATAAGTAATGATCCAATACTTCGTGAAGTAAAGGTATCTTCTGTAGATTCTGTTTGTCATTTTCTTCTGTGAGACTTTGGCCTAATAGTTATGAATTGTTAGATAATGAATTCTTTTAGCGTGCTACTATTAAAGCAGGTCATTGGAGATCTAGAATTTCAAAGTCAACATGGGTAAGGATATGGTAGACAATTTTGGTTGTCTCACCTTGTAGATTTTTTAGAAGGAAGTTGTCTTCTCCAGTTGATATTTCTTTGTTCCTTGAAATATGGTGAAGATGTCACCTGTTTTAGCCTGTTTTGTAACTGAGAAAATATCAAAGCTTAATTCACCCTTTACAAGGGTGGCGGACCTTGAATGCTCAAAATAATGGAGTATGAAATATGGATTCTGATAATAGATAATAGTTTTAATCTTTCCAATGGTTGAGAATCACAACTAGAAGTAAAGTCATCGTAACATCAGCTAACAACTGTCAGTCCCCTGAATCCTCCTTTTCGGTTTAGGTTATTGTCCTGCATTGGTGAGTTGATGTGCGTCAAGTCCCACATTTTCATGTCTTGTACCATTTGCAATCCCTATGGCAATTTAGAATCTTACTTTTAAATATAGGAAAATAGGGGCGGTCCTTCGGTCGTCAAGCATTTCATCGATAGCAGTAGCTCCCTCAACAATCTAGTCAATTTCGCTCCCTCCCAAGACACTTCAAATTCTTCAATAGGGACTCCATAATGGCCCAATGCTTTTAATATCTTTATTAGTTCATAACTTCTAAATCTTCCTTGGTGTCTAATGTTCTAATCCTTAAAAAGTATAATTAGCAGTATTTTCTTCCATTTGAATATTAAGATTTCTAAGATCTTCTGAGTTACCACTAAATAGCCTATGGAAATAACATCTCCTTTTTTTACTATCTTTAACTTTTACCAATTTCTTTGCATTCATTTTTTCTGCACCTGATTTGACCATTGCCTTTCCTTGTTCGTGACAGAGTGTGGATATGCCACTCACTCATGTTTCAAAGCTTTTCGTATATCTTATATATAGACTTTACTTTAGCCTCATCTACTGCCTTCCTTGAAAAATTTATTTGCAAATAATATTAGTTCAATTAATATCCATTTTTTTAAATTTTTTTCTGGATTAGATTTAATTGTCACTTTGAATTCTCATCTGGGACATTTCTTTAACAGGGCATTGTATATTATTATTTGACTTGTATTAGTTTGATAATTAATTGGTAGCTGGTCTCATTCATTTATATAAGGGTTTCAATTATTGCTAGTGCAATGAGGAAATGCTTGATTCAGAACTGAAATTGGAGTGTCCGATATATGATTTATAGATACAGCAACAATTATTCGACAATCACTTGGGAAATGACAGTAAATACATTTGAAAAACAGGCGATATGGACATTTCAGAGGGTTTTCTGATTCATCATAGTGTGAAATGATAGTGTTCTTTTATTTATTATTCATGAACAACAAGTTTTTAAGTGTTTTCCATTTGTTGCTAGGTTTTCTAATGTCCTTTTTATTGATTAACATTACACGCAAAAGGAAATATCAACTGCAGGGGACAACTTTCTTCAATTTTTAGTTTTCTTCCCATCTTGTATATAAGTAGCCAAATTATTTCATGAATGTGAATCAATAGTAAAATTCAATGACAATTGAAAAAAAAAAAAAAAAGACAAAAAGTCCAAAACACAATATTGCATTATCTTGTGGTTTTTTTTAAACAATTAATGATTAAAAAAAAAAAGTTAAGTAATGATTAAGAACATGAAAAAAATTGTGAATAAAAAATGTTCTCTAGGTTATTATGCAGTTAATATCTTGTAAAGTTTATCATTATCTCTTTTTTTTTTTTTTTTTTTTTTTTTTTTTTTTTTTTTTTTTTTTTTTGATGTAATGATCTTGTTATGGTTTTAGCTATCGCGACTGGCCCTCTCAGTCATCCCCACGGATTATGTAAGATAATATGTAGATCTGAGCCTCAACATACATTTATGCTTATCGTGTCATTATATTTTATGCCCGATATCTCAGTTTGCATTAACTTTCATTTTGTTATCCTTTTTTACAATAGCTCATTAGCTGGAAGCATGGGATTGCAGGGAGGGCTGCTAATCAAGTTTTGGTTGTTTTTCCTCATTGGCAAATATGGTCCAGAATGGGAATGGAAAGGTCAGTGTGGAAAACTAAATCATATTTTATATATTCAATTTCAATCAACCTCTGACGAATATAAATTCTTGATTATGTGCTCTAATGGCGCGCCGTTTTAGATAAAATATCTTGCCACTACTAGCTCCTCTGTCTTTCCATCGCTCTCCCTATTCCCGCCTTTTTCTTGAAGTTCTGCCTGAGAGAGTCGTGTGAATTTTTGGCAGCAGACTTCTGCCATGCGGTTTTACAACAAAACCAGGGTCATAAACTATTGAACCATTTAAATTGTCACCATGTTTTTTTTTTTTTTTTTTTTTTTTTTTTTTTTGATGTAATGATCTTGTTATGGTTTTAGTAAGTTCACGGTAGTAGCAGCTGATTTAGACTGATTCACTCTGATTCTGTTATATTTTATGCCGATACTCAGTTGCATTAACTTCATTTTGTATCCTTTTTAAATAGCTCATAGCTGAAGCATGGGATGCAGGAGGCTTGTATCAAGTTGGTTGTTTTCCTCATTGGCAAATATGGTCAGAATGGAATGGAAAGGTCAGTGTGGAAACTAAATCATTATTTATATATTCATTTCAATCAACCTCTGACGAATATAAATTCTGATTGCAACGCCAGATAAAATATCTGCAATGAATTCGCTTTCCATGCTACCCCTCATATTCCCGCCTTTTCTTGAAGTTTGCAATCTTGAATTTGGCAGCAACTAGCTGCATGGGTTTTACAACAAAACCAGGGTCATAACTATTGACCATTAATTGTCACCATTGTTATCAACATGCAGCCAGTGTTTTCATTATTATAGCTGATCTTAATTGTCTTCATAATTCTATTCTCATTGGTTATTATTTCATAAATCTTTTCACCCTTCATTATATTGTGAGTGTTTCTCAACAAAAAATGCCTCTGGTTTCATATCTTTCCCAATCTCAAGAACATCGTTTCTGATCAAGGATTTTACACAGAACTTGGGAATTTAATCTTGATAAATATCATGATTACTTGAATAGCATGACCAATTGAAGCATCTCATACTGTAGTCTTCTACCACAGGCATATATAGAAAAGTCAAAGGTTTGAAGCAAACTTAAGAATAAGTGGCTATATGTAATGCCTGGACCAAATGAAATTAAGACTTAATATTGTTTCTCATATTGGTCTCAAAATGTTCACTTCCATAGAATGTACAATATCAGTACCTGTTGAATTCTTAATCTCTGAGGCATTAGACCTTCCATTTTTATCTTTTCCAAGATAGCCTATGTTCTTAAAATGAAAAATTCATGCCCCAACATATTGATGAGTCAACTGGGAGCAACTTTAGTTCTGTTTGACCCTCTATCTGTTTGCTAATGTTAACAATCTCACCATTTGCATATTGCTCTCAAAACCTCAGAGCTTGTACTTTCCACTAAGCTGAAATTATGTATGGTGTGGTGCAATTCATTGTTGTATTATTCACATGGAATCCCCCTGTTGAAACTGTAAGTTGTACAAGTATATGAGTTGCCTGGTGCATTTTAATTCAAATTTTAAGTGCTGAGAAACAAATAAAGAGCTCAAAAATGAAAGTCAAGAAAAAAGAAAGTCAAAAAGTATATGGCTGAAAGAGATCAAAGAAAAGAATTATTGTCGCCACATCTTACAGTGTAATATATTTATGTTCTATTTGGGGGAAATTACAATCATAACATGAGAAGATTTTGCTAAAATATACATTGGCAATATTTCGTTAGGTATACAGGCTTGGGCTGATTTTTCCTCCTCTTTTTTTTTTGGTCAATCAGTATCGTGACATTGTGAGGCAGTTTATCAAGGGTACAGATGGTTTCTCTGGTGCTTTTGCTGAATGCCTATGTGGAAGCCCGAACTTATACCAGGTGTGCCTTTTTAGTGTTTGTCTTTCTAGTTCTTACATCTGTAATTCCTTCTATTTGATAGTATTGATGTTATTATCTGCAATTTTAAAGTGAATCATTTTACTAACATGTTATTTATATGTTTTATATTCTTCAAATAACAAATTAATGTTGGATCATTCACAATCCATGCTACCTAGAACATTTGCTTACAGTATCTGTATATCCTCATTCCTTGAAATAATAATATGGTGCTGGACATCCAAATGAAGAGAAATCTGCTAAATATGCTCTAATGCTTGTGGTGTATACAAGATACTATATACTGAATACCATGCTATCATCCATTTGTCATGATAGATTTGAAATTTTATGCTGCAACTGTGCAATACTGCAAGTGTGGTTTCTGAATGAATCAATGAATCAGGAAGGAGGAAGGAAACCATGGAACAGCATCAACTTCGTATGTGCACATGATGGTTTTACTTTGGCTGATTTAGTGACCTATAATAACAAAAATAACTTGGCCAATGGGGAAGACAACAATGATGGAGAGAATCATAACAATAGCTGGAACTGTGGACTGGTAAAGTTAGTTATGCTTATCTTTGGGATTGTCTTATTCATGTTGTCAACTTGAGTAGGAAGGTTTTTATGTAGTTTACCAAGAAATTATATGAGTTGTATGAGGTTTAGGGCCAGTTCACTTGAATTAAGTAGCAAAGATGCCAAGATTCTTTGAAATCTTATATTTTTGCTGGGTTATGAAGTCTTTTGATGGAAAATAATACATGCTTAAAAATCAGTATTTTTCTTATGCTTTGCTGTGTGTGACAAGGTGGGTTTTTGTTTTTTTGCTTCTAGGAGCTTATTTTTCTGGAGCTTTTAGCAGAGTTTCTTTGAGGGTTAGTTAACTTAATTAGAGGATGTTATTTTTAGGCCTTCCCCCTCTTAGATGTCCTTTGTAGCTGTAAGTTGGGTTTTTTATGGGAAGGAGGCTGTCTTATCCTCTGTGTTATACTCTCTTTGGTCTCTCAATACTTATTTTCAAGTAAAAAGAAAAAAGTTCTGAACTGTTTCCCTTTTTGGCTGAAATCTAAGATGTATATGTATCCTTTACTCTTGATTGGAATACCCAATTTTATGCTTAATGAAGTGAATAAAGAAGCAAATTTATTAGATTTTGCGGCATGTCAACTCATTCTTGAATCTACACCCCCTTCTTAGGGCAAATTTTTAATTTACGTAACTTAGACAATTCCATGAGATGGTTTATTTGGCATTCCTAGTTATGTTAATTTATTCTGTTTCATCCATCACCACATAGGAAGGAGAGTTTGCAAGCATTTCGGTGAAGAAATTGAGGAAACGGCAAATGCGAAATTTCTTTGTTTGTCTCATGGTTTCACAAGTAAGGTTCAATTTATACTTTCACATCTACATTAGGGAGATTTTATGTTCTTGTTAACCAATTGATTAATTTTTAAGCAGCAAATGCTAAGTTTTGCACTTTTCTACTTGTTGCTTGGATTCTATTCTAAGACTCCTCAAACAGCTGTTTTTGTAAAGGATTAATGGGAAAAGAAAGAGGAAGAAAATTTCGCACCATGCCATTCTGCACATGGAATGAAAGATTATGAAAGACAAGAAAAGAAAGAGTTTTGTTTAGGGGGTTTGTTACTCGCCTTCATAGCCACATCCTATATTTTCCTTGGAAAAAAAGGAAAAAAAAAACAAAGAAAGTAATTTCATCAATGTTCAAGCATAATTCAATTCCAACTTCCCCAGACCACCATAACTATCTGAGGATTGTCTATTTCTAAAAGTTGCTTTTGTATTTTGGAGGAACACATGGATAGGACCTCATAGTTCCATCCGCCAATCCTCTTATCCCTTTTTTATAACCTTCTCTTGCTTGACGAAATATGCTGGTGTGCCTCCGTTTTTACTCATCTCTTTTGCTATTAAGTTAGTTTACCTCCATTCCTACTCGTTTCTTTTTCCATTATAATCTTGATTGAACCTTCAATCTTCCATTTTCATAGCCTTCATTTGCCTTTTCTTTTCCATCTGTGTCCTACTGTGAACAATGAGAGATGGGCTGTGGCAAACTCAATTGGTGTGGGTCACTGATGAAAAGTGAACTGACATGCTCCAAGTAATTTTTTCGACAAAAACCAAGAAAAAGAATATCACGTCATTATTACTATTTAAGCATTAAAACTGAAAACTCGTATTTGACAACAAAGAGATGCCAGTACCTTGAAGTTGAAAAAAATACAAGATGTTTGATGCTTCTGATAAGGTTAGTTTTAAAAACGGATTGGAGAAGCCTTAAAACAACTAGTTTACTGTAATAGCAACAGTGGAGATTGGAGACCAACTAGTTTACTATAATGAGGTCTCAACATGGTCTCACAACTTAGAAGTCTTTCCAGAAGATATAGAATGACTGAAAAAATCCTGAAGCAGTTATATAATTATATAATGGTGGGAGTAAAAAGCTAATGGACAATACTGTGACAAGAAAAACATTTGTAGCGTGTCAAATTTTTTTATAAAGTTCTGACATTAGAAAACTTTATGATGTTAAAAAACTCTAAATTGAATGGAATTCTTGTTACTCTGGGATCTCTCACCAGTCAGTGCCATCTGTAGTAATGGTTACTGGTACAGAAAATAACACAATTCAGTTACATCAGAATTTATCTTAACCCAGAAAATACATTATTAGTCAAGCTGACCTTGTTCTTTTGTCTTGACCAGGGTGTTCCAATGATATACATGGGGGATGAGTATGGTCACACAAAAGGCGGAAACAATAATACGTATTGCCATGATAATTATGTGATCTCCTGCACCCTATTGCTGTTCAGAATCCCTACAAGTAGCAACTGCTGATTGTATTCACTGGTTTGTTGCTCCGATGCAGATCAACTATTTCCGATGGGATAAGAAGGAAGAATCATCATCAGATTTTTATAGATTTTGCTGCCTGATGACCAAGTTCCGCAGGTGAGTGTTTCTTTGACACAGTGACACAGAACTTTACTCTATGCAGTTTGCTTTTGTTTGACCTACTTTTCTCTTGTATGATGTGAGTTGTGATCTTGCAGTGAATGTGAGTCCCTTGGCTTGAATGACTTCCCAACAGCAGAGAGGTTACAGTGGCATGGTCATGTTCCTCGAATGCCAGATTGGTCTGAAACAAGCCGCTTTGTGGCCTTTACAGTGGTATGTTTTTCGTACTGCCATAGATTTTTACCAAAACCTATACTCAAGCCCCACCCCTGGAAACCGCTTAAGCTTTGCCTAAGTGGCCACATTCAATATTCTATCAAACTACTTTTTTTCATCCAGTGTTATTCGTAGTTGGCTGTAAAATATTCAATTGAACACAAAATGGACTTATGTTAAGTTCTTCCAAAATGGCATCACATGAGAAAAGTACTCTGCTTTGCCTTGGTTATATGAAAACTTCAAATTGCATATGCGATTATGATATACATTTTACATCCCCATGTCCGGCACTTATTGAAAACAACTTGAATAAGCCTGTCCAGGAAACAAAAGGAGGAAATTTAATCAAAATCTCGTTGGGTATTTTTATTTTTCATCAGTTCAGCAAAAACAGTATTTACGTTAATAAAACGAGGACTAAAAATTTCAAAACTGCAGTTCATCTTAAGCTCATGTCATAAGTGGATAAATTTTCTTTCAACTAAAAGCGATAGGACATTAGTCATGCATAAGTGACCAGGCGCTGCTTATGGAAAGTTTAGATGAAACTTTTTACTCAGAGTGGGGTAAACAGCATTTTTTGTGTCATAATCTTTTTAGATTCAGCTTTTAATTTGCAATTATGGTACTCGTAAGTGGGAAATCTTTTTTAAAAAACTGATGAAATGAATGTTAAAAGATTATGATTATCACAAAATAACAAAGAAAAATGTAATTTTTTTGGGTAAATGGATCACTTTTCCCTGGTCTGAAGTGTTGTCAATAACTCATTATGTGTTCACAACTATTCTCAAGTACTAGACTTCAAATTAGTTCACTAAATACTATTTTTATTTCACAAAATATTTCAGTCTCAACACTTTAATTGAGCCTTTGCATATGCTTAATTTCCTTCTGAAACTACCTGTCATTTGATCGCAATATCATATACGGGTAGGACCCTCTTTTCGAAAAATGCCGGAAGATAATAATCATGGACAAACAAAAAATTTCTAAGTTTCCAGACATGCTAAATTTTTTGAACAGTTTTGACAAAGTATTGTCATGGATTCAAGAAAAAACACTTGGAATCCATCTCAAACTACTACGATAGGAATCAAGGTCAGGAGAGACAACACCAAGCATCACTAATCATGTTTAATTGATTATCCTCCTGCTTCTTGATCCCTTGACATGAATTTATGATTTAATTATCTTTTTTATTTTGATTTTTGTGGTGGGTGCTCGATTTCAGTTGTCTGATTTATAATTATTCATTGTGAGCTTGGATCCAGACCGACACGGTGAAGGGGGAGATATATGTTGCTTTTAATGCTAAGCACTTGCCTGTTACCGTTGCACTGCCAGAACGGCTAGGATACAGATGGGAGCCTCTGGTAGACACTGGCAAGGCTTCGCCATTTGACTTTCTTTCTGGTGACGTACCTGAAAGAGAGATTGCTATTAAACAGTATTCTCACTTCCTTGATGCAAATTTATACCCTATGCATAGTTATTCTTCCATCATTCTCACCCTCTCTCCCGATGATAATGTATAATTCATTAAAATTAGTGTTCGATTTCAGCTGTAAATATCTCCAACTTAATGCTCAAATGTTATTTTTGAGCCTGAAGTTGTGTATGGAATGGAGATGGTGTGATGGGAACTTGCTCGATCTTTCTTTGCATTATGCATAATTTCTTTCTTTCTTTCTTTCTTTCTGAATGCAAATTGTTGTTTGTATTTATGGGGTGTAATCAATTTTACTCAAAAGGAAAAAATAATTGATGAATGAAAATGTATTGTTATGTTAGGTTGAATTTATAAATTCACCTTTGAACTTTACAATTTTCACTTTGAATTTTGTGAATAATTTATTTTGCACGTGAATTTGTAAATTTTGGTAACATTGCATACATTTTCATATTAACAACAATAGATTTTGGAGGTTCTGGTTTTTATATTTAAAATATTGATTTGATATGCAGTTAGTATAACTTTTAGAATAATAATTTTCACATTTTTCAATTATTTCAGAGGTGTTTAATTTTTTTTTAATTTCGCAAGTTGAAGTATTGAGTAAAATGAATTTGCAAGTTAAAATGTTTATTAGTTGAAGTGTTTGATGTATTAAAATAAAAAATTAAAAGTGCCATAAAATTACAGTAACAAAGTTTACAGGGTGAATTCTTTGCAGGATAATTTATCAATTTTAATCGTCGAAAATGAAGAGAGATTCATGCGAATTAATAAATATGCACAGAATTAATGTTGGGCGATCAAATCAGGAATCACCCATAGGAATGGTTCGACCACTAATCCAATTTTAGAAACATTTACAATAATTACTAACATTATTTTGAAAGCTGGATCAGATTAGAGGCTCAAACTGATCAAAGCGAGGATCAATCAGTAGCTAAAATTTAGAAATCAATAAACAGAAAAAAATGGTTAAAAGCTGGTGAACTGAAGTAATGACACTATCATTTATCAATCAAAGTTATTAATCCCAAGAAATGAGATTGTATCATTTCACAATATTTAGAAATTTAACTCTGGCGCATTGAGGATTATGTATCTACAAGTGTGAACAAACGGTCAGTTCAGGTCAAATCAAATCAAAACTAAAAACTGCAAACTAAAGTTTGTAGAGGACAGACCAAACTGAACCAATATTGGCATCTGAACCAAACAAACTCAGAAGTTTGGGTCAGCTTTTGCCCATATCAGTTCAATTTTATGCTCAACCGATGAATTCTATGAAACCGACTCAAACCAAATGATATGTTTAATTCAAACCAACTGACCCAGAAAACCAAACCACCCTTGAATAGCTGATCGAACCAAAATGGGTCTGTTCAGTTTTCGATTTGGTGGTTTTGCACACCACTATGTATCCAGAGGCTTTCCCAGCTAATGAGATCAGAATTGCCAGAACTATGTTATACATTATATATTACAAGCTACAAGAGAGGGTCAGAAGAAAGGCAATATAAATCAGTAAAAACTATACCTGCGCCTCAGCCAACGGGGCATCATATTATTAAGCTATCATGTGTTCGATACATATAATGAATTGGCTACTCCTAACAATATATATTAATTAGATAGTGAACAAAAAATTTCTGTCAGACCCCTCTTCTAAAACATTAGAAGCACAGCTGAATCTGGGTGCTGCTGCATGGGGCCCACCTTAAATTTCTGCTTTGGACTACCATCAGATTGTCAAAATATTTTATTCAAGAAGCCATCACCAGAGGTGATCCATACCCGTTTCTATGCGACTTTTGCCATCTCCATGCAATCTGTAAGCTCTCCTGGAGATCAGTGTGTTGTGCGGTCCAGTTCAACTCCAGCCTAATTTTTGTTGGGTCACTAAAAACTTCGGCATAATCACCAGGTCTGCGAGGTAAATAGTCGACTTTGATGTTTACACCGGTTGCCTTCTTGCATGCCTCCACAAATTCATTGACAGATCTACCTGGCAAGAGGAACTAGAATGTTAACTAACACGAGGGAAAATAACAAATAAACACAATAATCTAATGTTCATGCTGTTTAGCGTACCTTTTCCAGTGCCGACATTGTAGATGCCAACTTTACGAGGCAATGCCCTTTCTAGAGCTTTCACATGAGCATCAACAAGATCAGTAACATCAATATAATCTCGAATACAAGTACCATCATGTGTCTTGTAATCTGTTCCTTTAACCTGCAAAACAAGAAAATAATCAAGGTTCTGCAAAACCGAGCGTTGCCATAATATCTATATTAGCTTAAGGTTTAAGGTTTAGCTTTCCAGAATATCTATATTAGCTTGCGCATGAACCAGACCACTAAAACAACACTGGTTCGTATTATGCAAACCGAAGTGAAAAAGCACCGGTGCAGTGCTTAATATTGATTTTGTTTTCAATATATTAATGAAGAAATTTATAGTTTTTAACCAAGAATTTCAGAAACATATTATTGATACATGATGGACAAACTACATGCACACTGATGTAACAAATTCACCCAAATGAAAGCACTTAACAGCATAGCTATGAAATGATTCCACAAGAAAGTTGCAACTAAATCTCAAGGGAAAAGGTTAACAGAACATAAAAAAGCATACCTTCAGACCAGAAATAATACCACGAGCAGCATCAAAACAGGCACCAGAAATTCGTCCATGCTCACGCAATTCAGGTCTAGGAGCCTCACCTAATCTGCCATCTGGATCTGAACCAATCACATTGAAGTATCTGGAAATCATTCACAAAGAAGATCCATCGATCAGAATTCCAAAATGAAACAGTGTGCTTACATGCATGAGAGAGATTTTAACTTCAAATATCCAATACGTGCTCAAAATAAACTTCCACAAGTTTCAGAATGGGATGGACAACGATGGGTGGTCCCTCATCAGCTATTGCTAGCACTAATAACCATATGGCATTGCATTTACACATGTCAAAATTCATCTTTGCATGTCCAGTGCTCCTAGTTTGCAAGGCATCTGAGCAATGCTTTACTAAAAGCTGCATCATCTGGAAAAATACAGGGCCTAGTGCACAGAAAACAACAAACTTGTACACAGTAATATTCAAGCTAAATAATCTGAAGTGGATACCTACCCAGAATGCTGTTAAAGGAATGATGAACAGTAACATTCCTAGATTATCAGCCGTCCTGATTTCTAAATATTTTTCTGAGTTGAGAGAATCTCTGCCAACTCTAGGTTTTGCAAAATCTGAAACAACTCTAGACACTGTATGCTGGAGATAACATTTTATGTGCATTTTCACAGTTCCCTCCTTCCATGTTTCTAGTTTAACGAAACCTAACCCCACAGACAATGGCCAAAGATCATCCTCTCAGTAGGACAGAAAGAAGAATCTTCCTAGGAAGAACCTAGATGTTTTCAACCTAGAAGATGGACCAAAAAGTGAAGATCGCAAGGACAGAAACCACCAGTGCTGGGAAAAATAACAATCCAAGCCTCACTATAGAAGTGTTATTTCATGTCAAGCGATGATCAATGGATTGAAAACAAGTTGGATCTCTAGCTGTCTGCAGAGTTTAGATGGTATTTTTGAGATTTACAGGCAAAAATCTCCTATAACCCATTGCAAGTCCCGCACTCATTAGATATGCAAAGAAGATAAGCCAAAAGCATCGAAACACGATATTGAATGAAAGATTCCTGGGAAAGAATAAATGAAAAGAAACAATAAAAAAATTAACTTGAATACAACTAACACCAACCTTAATATCATAACTGCCATGTCAGAATTTTTGGAAAAATCCATGATCATATCTTCTGCCATCTTCTTAGCTTTTCCATATGGATTAATTGGGACCTAAAATACATAAAGAGGTATATAAATCAGTCACCTAGCTACAAAATCCCATGCAAAGACTTAGAATGCCATTTTAAGACTTTCAATCCATAAAAAAAATTTTAATTAAACAAACACATAAATCAAACTGGTTAACATATACTCTAAGTATCTCGGCTATAACCTGTGGAGTGTCTTCAGTAATAGGCATCTTCTCAGGCTCCCCATACGTTGCACATGTACTAGAATATATCAAAGTCTTTACATCATGTGCAGCCATTGACTCCAGTACTACCAAAGTATTTGATGTAATGTTGTGATAGTACCTTCATACGTAGAATGTAGCAAGATTAGGAACAGATAATGCAGGGTATTAATTTGGATACCAAAATTTAGGTTGTTTAATTTAAAGATTATTCAAACTGCATGACAGCAACATAAACTATACATATTTCAATTTGATGTCCATAACATCGTATTCAGAAGAAACTTTCTAAGTTCCATAGCTTCAAATGGATTTTCAGTGATTCTTGAAGTACAGGACACGACATATAGGATTCAGTCAAGAAGAGTTTCCACCACTCGCATACAGCAATCTATGGTACACTGGTGCTATGTTCTTGAAGATTGCAATAGAACAGGAGAGGGACCAGATGATAGTGGTGATAATGAAAATGGTATGGTGATGCTTGACCTTTTCAATTTTTTATTTTAACCATGTGTTAGAAGAGTCTCAATGTAAGATATACTACCCAGAGGCTTAAGCTTGCACTTTGCTTTTCTATTAGTTTAACCTCATTCTACATCAAGCAAAAACAGACTTGGACTTGAATTTTCCTTAAATAACCGCAATGAGATGCTAACCCAGGGAAGTGTCAAAATTTACAAGCGGCAGAAACTCTATATTTGAGCTTAAGTGTTCAGTGATCCAACAAAGTTCTAATCTCAAACTAAATTTTAGTAACACCTCTTTCATTTTTACTACCACCACCACAAGCAAAACACACAAACTGCCACAAACAAAATGACAATGCCATTTAGCTTGAAGTTGAAAAATTTTTTGGCAGGCCTATTTCAAATCACAAATAGAACTTACTTAAGAGGATCCATGGTGCTTTCCCCAACATATGCAACAGCAGCAAAGTGCATCACAGCGTCAAATGCATTTTCTGAAAATATTTTGTTAACCTGAAATTTCAGTGAAGGAAACAAGTTGCAGCATCCAAGTTTGAGTATCCACAACCTAAAACAATGGCATATATTATAAATGGTGTAACAAGGATACAGCTTTTGCGTCTCCTAAGTCAGCATAAATGAACTGAAGCCTCCCAGGTTCCGGGAATAGTTCTTGTAAAACCTTGACAGCACCTAGGTTTCCCCGTGAGAGGTTATCCTGTCAAAAATAAAAAGCTTTTACTTTGTAGATCTATAAATAATATAAAAAAGAAATTATCACATTGCATGAAATGCACATACCACTATGGTTACCCTGTAACCATCCTTCAGAAGTCGCAATGCAGCATGTGAACCAATGTAGCCAGCACCACCAGTCACCAGGACATGAGTCACCCCTTCCTCATGCACCGAGAACTATAAGCCAATCAAAAAAAGAAAATGTATTATGAAATTTTCATGGAATTCAGATAAACTGTTATGACAACTAATTGCAAAAGTATAGCCATGTACAATAGTTTCATTAATTGGATTTAATAAACATGGACTACCATTTCATATTTGACACAAAACCAGATTTGAAGAGATAATTGCCCCAAATCTAATTGTATACTGTGACCATCTATGTATATGCATGTACATGTATGAAGAATAACCAACACGTCACCCACAACCAGGGAGCGGGAGGTAATAATGCAGCACTCATGGATAGGAGTGTCCTGCACATATTACAAGTTTGAATTCCAATACTGCATGTTCAAACAAAAGGATGAACCAGGTTCAAATCTTCAAAAAAGCAGAGCCTAAACAATCATAAATCAGTTCGTAATATTGAAGCTGACTCTGCTAAAGAAATACGCAGTCAATACAAGAAAATTAAACATAGGGTCAACAAATTACCAGACTTCGGGTGTTAAATGTTGGGGATTGCTTGAGCATAATAATGCATAAGGCTGTGAGGGCAGCAGCCAAAAAAATCTTCCCTACAATATTACCCTTCCTTTTAGGGTCAGCATAATCCAAGCCTGCAACAGAAGAGAGATACAAGACAAGAAATTAACACATAACTCAAGAAATTGGTTCAAAATCAAGAAGTCCACCATATAGAGAAAGAAAAACAGACCCCCAAGTGGCATAGATCTGTTATTCCTTGGCTGATTTCTGTTCCTGCCAATATTTAGCATCTGGAGAATCTCTTCAACCCTCAGACTTCGACAGAATACAGAAAATTCGCTTCTGTATCAATGATCAGCTAAGAATTCCCTTAAAAATTCTCCTTTTTTTCTGCTCCAGTTTTCTGCAATGAATATTAAGAAATTACTAACCATCATCTGAAATATAGTAATAATAATAAGAGCAAAGAGAGATGGAAAACAGAAAAAAGAAAAATAAAGAAAGAAAAAAAAGAGGTAAATGCAAATATGAAAAAGGTAAAATCAAAACCAGAAGAAAGCGTGGCTGGCTGGGCCCTATATAAGCAAGTGTCTAAAAGGCCAGAAAGGCAAAAAAGTTCAATACTAGTAAGTATCAAAAATTTACCACAGAAATGGCAAAAAAACCCAGAAAAAAATCGCCATTCAAAATTCAAATTTTAATGATGAGAGAGAGAAAAACAGAGAAGTAAAGGAAAGCATCAGCCTTCAAGATCCAAAGAGATCGAAGAATGCATCAGAAAATAAGACTAAAGCTCAAACCTTGGCAATTATAATTATTTGTCAGGGCATGTCTGCCCAGTAAAATTTTTTTAGAAAAATAAAAAATTCAATCGATCAGGTCCATATCAAATAAACAAAACCCAGATACAGAAGAAGAGAAACAAACCAAATCAATATATACAGAAAAAAAGAAAAATAAAGAAAGAAAAAAAAGAGGTAAATGCAAATATGAAAAAGGTAAACATCAAAACCAGAAGAAAAGCGTGGCTGGCTGGGGCCCTATATAAGCAAGTGTCTAAAAAGGCCAAGAAAGGCAAAAAAGTTCAATACAGTAATATTCAAAAATACCATCAGAAAAAATGCGGACTCACAAACCATCCATCACCCAGAAAAAAAATCGCATCAAAATTCAAATTTTAATGATGAGAGAGATAAAAAACAGAGACAGTATAGACTAGGAAAGCATTCAGCCTTTCAGATCCAAAGAGATCGAAAAGATAAATAGCAGTACAGAAAAATAAGACCTAACCAGACATCAAACTCCGGCAAGTATAATACCCTTATTTGTGACAGGTGTCCGAGTTCTGCCCAGGGTAAATAATCATATATTAGAAAAATAAAAAATCATAGCAAACTCGAGTGCCATAAGATGGCCCTAGGTCCTATCCATCAAAGTAAAATCGATAAAACCCAGATACAGATAAGACAGAAAGACCAACCGGAAGATCACAACATCATACCCCTAAATATATGACAAGTATCCCTATAGTATAATAGTATAGTATAGTATATATATATAAGTCATACACCTTTGAATAATAACCCCTATAGGCCATGCAATAAAGAACACACCTAAACATCACCAGAAAAAGAAAGGTAAACACGATGATAGAAACTGCCAGAGAGACACCAGCAAACCGTCAGTAAGTATAAATGAATAAGGCACGACAGGTTAAACAACTCTCAAACCAAGGCCATTGAACTTTCTACACTTATTTAGAACAATCTTAATATATATAAGTCAAAATTCCAGGGATCCAAACCACCTAAACATCACCAGAAAAAAGAAAGTAACAATGGAAGAGCCAAGGCACACCTCTTTATATATAATAAACGTTAACACCTCAAAACCATTGAACTTCCATATTTAAAACTTAACAAAAAAAAAATAAAAAAGAAAAGGAAAAGGAAGTGCATTAATTACAAATACACACTACCTGAAAAAAATATAAAAAGACAATTATCACACTTCAATCTAGATATGAAATAAAGCTGAAAATTATTTTACAAACAATAATCACAAGATCCACACATATCATATAAACAATCCCGCGCACATAAAGAACAAAACCCAGAATCAAAACTTAGATTTTTTATTCACAAAAGAAATATTACCCGCTACGATCGGAAACGGAAACGGGAAGAGAGAGAGAGAGGGGGGGAATGAAAGAAATTAGAAAATTTAAAGAATTTTAGGGAGAAAAAGAAAACAAACAAACAAACGACAACGTAAAAAAGACAGGACGAGGAGGTACTGATGTCGTGAGAGCGTGCGTTTGAATAAGAAGAAAAGGCTAAGAGAGAAATGCAGGGAATTAGAGAGAGAAAGAGAGGAAGAGAGGGAGAGTTCTAATAGGCGGAGAATTCTCTGATACCCCATTTTGTCAAGCGTAGAGAGCATAGGAAGGAAAAGAAAATTCTTCACAGGCTTTGAATTTTTATTTTTATTTTTAATAATTTAATTTTTTATATGTAAGAAATTGTTTGCTTTTGCCATTTTTGGGTCACCGGCTTACAGCAACAGCAGAGGCCAATCATCGACTGACCGGTCTTCGAGCGAGAAAAGCGGGACTTGGTCCTTTGAGCTGGCACGAATTATGTGTCGCCACGTCATCCTGCGAGTGTCTTTTTACTTTATTTACTTTCTTGTTTTTATTTTAGTGGGGCCCCATGTTAGAAAAAGGACTGTGTTGATGTATCAGGTTGGAGTATTTAAAAAATAATAACTATTAGTAATTACTGGCCCATACGAAAAATAAATTTATTTATTTTGTTGGTCCCAAATTGTTCATCACATTTCTTTTAAAAACTGTAATTAATTTACTCGATATCAATAATTATTTTTATTTGACTTTTTATTTTCATTAAATGTAATATTTGTTTTTTGATATTAATATAATATTTATTAATAAAAATATAGAAAATTTATTATTAAAAAATATTTATTACTTTTTAATCTTTATAAAAACAAAAATAAATTTAGGATATTCTTTTAAAAGAAATATAATTTAAACATATTTACTATATATATATTAATTGCTTGAAATGTAAATCACTTTAAATTACAAAATATTATAATATCCATAATATAGATATAATTAATTTAACTAGTACGATAAATTAGTGAATTTATTGCATTTAATAAGGGAAGTGCAATTTCTTTAGTCATCCATAAAAAAAGTTACTTATATATAAATAAAAAATTGAATGATATACTTTTCGAAAATTAAAATTGACAGTGCAAACCAAACGCAATATTTTCAGGAACTTAAACCTGTAGTTTATTGACCGGTAACCAAACATCATCCTCATTTTGTGGACAAAATAAACTATTATTTTTTTGTGTAAATATTTTTTTCAATTGGAAATTTTAGCTCTTGATAAGTTTTTAAAAACATGCCAAAATTTTATTTGATGTGTTAATTTTGTAAAGTTGTTGCACATGAGATTTGTTGCCAAAAATGTATATTGAGCTATATATGAATATATAAAGAATAGCAAACTAGGCTTAGTAGGATTGATCTTTTCGCTCTAACGTGGAGTGAGAGGTCTCGAGTTCGAATCTTCTCGATCATAAAAATATTTACCAATTTAGTAAATAAAGGGGAAGACTACTCATATTGTGTGTAACCCATGAAATCATAATGAATCACGATTAATCGATAATAACCATTATCCCATATTAGAAATTAAATTGAAAATTTAGAATTTTTGTGTAACCTTAAACGGAATTATTGAAAAAGACATCACACATATTTCGTAATGAAAAATTAAAAATTATGTGATTTTATTATATACAATGTCAAGGGAGTTTAACCCAAGTAATTAACATTAGATTTTTAGTTTATATCCAATTTAGGATTTAAATATATATTTATAATTTTTATCCATTTAGGATTAGTTACTAAGATTGCAATAGATTTATACTCTCAAATTGTTTAATTCATAATGAAATATATGTATTATATACAAAACAAGGCCTATTGATTTTGTATTAAGATTGGATTTATGATAACATGACATGAGTTATTGAGCATAACCATCATCCATATATATTATTATATAGGGGAATACATAAATTCACCCTCGTACTTTTCACAAAAAAAAATTTATGACATCCTCAACTCTTCTTTTGACTCATTGAATACTCAAATTTATAAAATTGTATATGTTAAATACTTTATTTGACTCATTGAACACTTCAACTTATAAGATTGGATTGATTAAACACTTATTAAAAAATTAAAAAATGTAAAATTATTATTTCAAAAGTTGTATTAACCAAGTATCAAATCAATATTTTACATACAAAAGCCAAAAAATCTTTAAATTTATTATTTTTAATGTAAGGAGGTATGAAATTATTACAAAAAATGAGATTCACAGCATCAGAAGATCGATTTTATAGTTCTGAGTGCCACAAAGCTTTTTTGTCAAAGTTCAGAGATTAAATGATGTATTTGGCTTGTATACATTATTATCCAAAAATAGAAGAAAAAAAAATAATTAATTGCTTTTAATTCTTCACAACTTTGATTTATATTAGTCCAAAAAGAAGAAGTTGGTAAATTTGTCATTCACCAAGATGATACCAAAATGTCATTCCATCATCAATAAAAAATTTGATACTTTATTAAATAATTTTATATTATTTAACTATCAAGCTTTCATGGTCAAGAGAATTTAAAATCCGATATCTTGTACTCACTATATTTGTAAAAAGACTAATCATATTACATTTGATTGGCAATAAATATAATTTCTTAATAATAAAAATTACATCTTAGTGTTTCGATCCCCAAGAGGAAATAAGCATTTGATTTTTTTTTCTTTCTGTACGGTAAAAGATTAAAGAGAGATTGAAAAAATAAACAAGATTAGAAATACTTTTATATTTTTATATAAAAAATAAATGAGATAGGTAAAAGGGAAAATTCGTCCATTAAGCTCAAAAGTCTACCTCTTCCTTCGTTTTGGGTCGTGGTCAAAGGTCTTTAACAAACCAAATCTTACATACTTAGCAATTAGCATACGAAGTCTTACTTAGCATGCTTGGCAGTTCTTTTCTGTCACCATTTTCCAATCCTAGCATAGTAGACTAAGCTCAACTAAAATTGACAAATCTTTGAATCCAAACATGCCTCATCATTCCTTTCTTACGGAAATTCTTAAAAAATGAGCTTAGAAGATTTAATTAAATTACTGCCTTGGAAGTTGTAACATACCTTATCACCTGATAAAACATTGACTGCCCAACTAAAATTCCCTTAATATTTTTCTTCTAAAATTTTTATTTATGTATATTATTTTTAATTATATTTTTATACTTTATTCGAGAGTAACATTTAATAAAATCATTTTAATAATAATAAATCTAAAATTTAAACTCTTAACTTTATAAATATAGTCTATTTTGATAAATCTAACCGTTCATTGATTATTACTTACGTGTATTTACTATACTATTTTGTTTACTTTGAAATTCAATTAAAAAAAATGAAAATGAGTGTCTAGGTAATATTTGATAATAGGATTATTAAGTAATTGAAATTAAAATTTTCAAGTTGAGAAAATTTTATAAGAAAGTGATTTGAAAATAATAATAACAGTTTAAACATGATAATAAGTTTATAATGAAAATAAATAATAAAAAAAAGGGTATAATTGCAACTGCTGGATCATAATAATAAAATAAAAAAGCATAATTATAAAATAATGGCATAAGTACTGTGTCTGGTGAGTGGTGTCATTCACATATTTATATTCCTTTTCTTTTACTACAATTAAATGTTAAAGAAATTTGATACTGCATTCCAAGTTTCAATGACTAAAATATCCTCATAGTATTAAAGTAAAATGATAAAAAATTGAAAGTGGGAAAATGAGATGTCAGTCATATAATTTAATATATGAGAATGAACCAAAAGTTTTTTATAATCATTCTTGTGTATTCAATTTTTAATCATTTTCATTCTTTTTTTTTTTCTCCATAATTGGTCGTTGGACTATTTGATGAGAAATATTATATATAAAATTGCAATTCCACTCACTATTTATCAATTTAAAAAATATATATGTATAGGAATACTCATGACAATACATAAATTAAAAAAAAAAACATCTTTATAGTTTACTTCCATTATATTATAAGGTTCTTCCATCAAACTATAAAATCTTTCTGTCAAATTATAAGGTTCTTTCATCTAATTTTTACATTTTTTTGTTAAATATCTTATGAAATAACGAAAAAAACTCTTTTTATTTTTAAAAACACAAGGACGAACTAGATATATTTTTTAAAACCATAGAAACTATACTGTAATTTTTTTGATATAATATTTTAGTATCTCTCTTTTGATCTCTGTGTTTTTTTGTTGACCTAATGGAAAAGATGTAAAAATTGGATAGAATAACCTAATAATACAACGGAAGCAAAATATAAAGAAAATTAATATATTAAAAAAAAAGGAACAAACTAATTGTATTTTGCAAACCACGTTCATCTTATTGTATTTTTTCCATAAAAGTAAGGAGACAAGATGATTTAAAGCTTATTGTATAAAAAATGTTAGTAATTTAGTAATATTAAAATTAATATTTTTCAAAATTTAGCACCTCTATCCTTTGAAAAATAAAAAAATATATATGTTACATGTTGCACAAACAAATCATTTTAATTAGTTGTCCTACATATGAATATCTCAATAAAAAAAGCCAAAAATAGAAAAAAATATTAATATTTCAATAATTGTAGCACTTTGTAGATGCCTAGTCAACTTGATCTCTACATGTTATAGTATGCCTTTTAGAGTATATAACTTTTGCATATATGAAGAAATATTCTCCTTCCTTCCACATGTATAGATAATAATTTAAAGGTCTAGTTGGCATAAGGTGAGGCTGTATTGAATATTTAGTAATTTATTTAATAGTTAGGTCCTCTTTTTTAATTTTCAAAGAATATATATATTTTATTACCTAACTTGGTGTTGACTTTTAATCTGCTTTCAATTGACAGGTTAGATTAGGAACCACCCAAATGAAAACTCACATGCTTTCACTTTTCAATTATGCACTCAAAGGCTCATATGGAGGAACCAATTTTAAGTTGCTTCCAATGAAAAAACATTGGAAAAGGAAAAAAAAGGACAAAGAAAGCCCTTTGAAAATAGATACCAACAATTGTTGAGAATTGAGAAAAGACCAAAGAAAAGTCTAATCCTTAAGGCACTTCCATTTCTAGGAAGTGGGAGAAACTCTTTTGAGGGATATAACCTAAAAATGTTCAAGTGCATAGATTTACCCTTGAAGTTTATGAGATTTGTTTCGTGACATCTTTAAGTTTGCGGGAGATTTATCATATGTCCTT